CGCATTGCGTCACTCTGGGGCCCGCCGTGCCGAAATCAAGCTGGCACGGGCGGATGCGCCCCCGTTGGCACCCGCGCGGGGGACACCGTGGTGAGGCGCTCGCGAAAACGGGAAAAGACGTCGAGATCGCCCTGTCGCGATGCATCGGGGTGCCATGGCAGGTGCAGCTTTCGCTCGCACTTGCAGACCGGATTTCGTGACATTGTCATGGCTCGTGCATGTCACGGGCGGCCTCTTCGTCAGCTGCGAAGGGGTCGGGTTCCTGAGCGGAGGGGTTGGGGCGACGCGCCGAAGTCGAGGCAGACCCGAAGAGGCGACGAGGGGGAACAGGATACGGGCCCCTAGGAATCGCGACGGTAGACTGGTGCTCCAGTCCAGGCGGCGGTCTCACTCTGTGATACGACGCTACTACGAGGCTCACTTGGGCCTGCCCTTGCTCTTGCCCTTGCCGCCTCCGCCGATCTTCCTGGCCAGGTTGCCCCTCGGAGCCTTGTTGACGAGGTGGCGCCCGCCTGCCGCGCGAAGCTGCTCGGCGATGAGCAGGTTGATGTCCATCAGGTACCCTGGCATGTTGAGGATGGTGGTCGGCGTCTCGGTCGGACTCACCTGCTTGATCTCTCCGCCACCTCCGTCGATGGCGGCCATCAGCTTCTCGTGGTCGGACACCTGTGTCGTCATCAGGATCTGGCCTTTGAGGTTGAAAGTAAGGCGTGGCTTCTGAGCTTTGCCTGGCTGGTCGAATGTTGGGCTCGCCACCATCTCTGTGATCCACGTCTCGGCGATGGTCGGTCCGCCGTGCTCGATCATCTTCATCAGGCGGCGGATGCACATCGCGCAGGCGGCCCGTCTCTGTGAGGTGTCCTTGAAGGCGAAGTTGCTCAAAGCAGCGAGAACCGCGAAAGCACTCTGGCACGCTGGCGTGCCTCGCTCGTCCTCTGGACTGGTCTTCTTGTTGGCGAGGAACCGCTGGAACGCTGCGTTGCCTTCCACGATGCACGGGTGGTTGCGGTCCAGGAGCACGCTGGTGAACCCCGCGTGCTCGATCGCGCGCATCCTGGCCTCGAGCTGGTGCACCAGGCAGCGCAGAGGGCCTGGCTCGTGCTCGTCCTCGTCCTCGTCCTCGATGTCCTCCTGGCGGCGCATCTTGTGCTTGCTGTCCCTGTCCTCGCCCGCGCCGCCCTTGTCCTTCTTGTGGAGGATCCAGGACGCGGGCGTGGGGAGGAGGAGGAGGAAGAGGAGGAGGAGGAGGAGGAGGAGGAGGAGGAGGAGGAGGAGGAGGAGGAGGAGGAGGAGAGGAGGAGGAGGAGGAGGAGGAGGAGAGAGAGGAGGAGGAGGAGGAGAGGAGGAGGAGGAGGAGGAGGAGAGAGGAGGAGGAGGAGGAGGAGGAGGAGGAGGGAGAGAAGGAGAGCGGCGGAGGAAGGAGGGAGGGAGGAGGGAGGAGGCGAAGCAGGAGGAACCCCTCCGAGGTGGAGGGAAATGAGAGGGCGGAGGAGGCGGGGGGAATGCGGAGAAGGAGGAGGGCAGAGATGGAGGCGGAGGAGGAAGAATGTTCTCCAGGCGCGGCTGCAGGCGTGCCCGGCGACGCAAACAGACTCGGGCAATGGCCCGACAAGAAATAAGTAACCCGAGCAACTCCCGCACGGGAGTGCCAGCGGGCAAGGACAGGAAGCCAGAGCCCCTCGACGCGTTCGCCCTCCACAACCAGGCCGCCGCACAGGGGCGTCCAGGACGCACCCACCGAAGGGCCGCAGAGCTTCACCTGTTCCCGCTGAGCGGCGTGCATCGGCAGGCCCGAGGGAGGGTGGGCAAACCCGCCCACCAGCGGTCCAGCCGTGGGCGGGTCTGGGGCGGGACCCCGCCGCGGCCAGGGAGCGTCGGCAGCTGCGCAGTCGCGCTCGAGTGCGCGCCGCAGCAGGCGCAGAGAACACAGAGGGGCCCACGCTCCGCACCCAAAAGGCCACCCCCGGGGGGCACACTCGGCAGAAGCGAGGGCGCCACGCGCTTGTCCTCCCCCTCCTCCCTCCTCCTCCTCCTCCTTCCTCCTCCTCCTCCTCCTCCTCCTCCTCCTTCCTCCTTCCTCCTCCTCCTCCTTCCTCCTCCTCGCACAGCACGGGCTCGTGGGAGCCGCGAGGCGGCCCCGTGCCCGCCGTCGGGGCAGGGATCCGCCCCCGCCGCCTCGCACGCCGCGGCTGGCCGTGCCTCGGCGCCGCCCGCGAGCAGGCGCCAGCGGCCTGCAAGGTGGGAGCAGGGAGCCTTGCCACCCAAGTGCGGCAGGTTCGTGTCGTGCCGACCCCAGCGTTGGTTTTTGACACCGCAGGGATCGTTCAACCCTGAACGATCGGCCGTCTCCGCAACGTCCGATCGTTCAACATCGACCGATTCTGGGCCGCCGTCGGCGTTCAACGTTGAACGTCGGCGGCGGGGTCGCCGCCGGTCGACACGACGCAAACCTACCGTGACGAGGTTGAAAGTGCGCGAGGCGCGCGCCGTCGCCACGCGGAAATGGCGCAGGGGAACGCCAACGCGCGCACCGTCATGAGCAGAGCGGTTGCCTCACCGGCCCCATTGCAAGGCACTTGCACGCGTCGGGGTGGACAGAACCATCAGAAAGAGCATCTGCTTGATAACACCTACTCCTGCGGTGCAGGCAGGCAGAGGCGAAGGAGAGCAGACGGAACCCATTGGAAACAACAAAATCGTGCCGGATCTTGAAAACTTGAAAACCGAGATCCGCGGATCGAGCCGAAATCAATATCGGAACCAGAGCCAGGACTTCCCATTCCTGCTCCTTCTCCTCCTCCTCATCCTCCTCCTGCTCCTGACGCCCCACGACCCCGCTGGGACAGTGTGGCCGTCTTGGACTATGGTCACATTTCGGCTACACGCAAGAGTGACCCTACCGTCGGACCTAGGACAGAGTAGCATCCCTCAAGAACATGAGGCCCTCCGCCGGCCAAAACTGGAGGACATTCGAGGGTGCCCTCCCCCAGGATGCACAAGGACATCCCACGGACACGAAGAACATTGTAGGGTGCACTCCCCGAGGCGAACTCGACCTCATACTTCGGTCCGACTGCAGGCGAGAGCGACCTTTGGTGCGCGGCTTGCCGCGCGGTGCGCGCGAGGAGACAGCAGCGGCCTCTATGCCTACACGCCGTTCATTTCGAATCGTGCTCATCTCTAAGTGTGCTCGCTTCAAATTCCGGCGGTGGACAAACCTCCCTTTAGTAAACCTCCCCTTAGTGAAAACGGCCTGGGACCGAAACCGACGGACCTGGACCCGCAAAAATGACGGCCGCGACGCCCTCTCGCGAACCGAAAACGGCCAATTCCTTGATCGACGTGTCAGGGTAGGAGGTCTACCCACCTCCGACAATTGTTCCTGGCACCCTAGTGGCCAGGAGCCAGAACAGAACAGTTAGAACTGAAAGGATCCTGGCCCCCAAAAATCAGAGAACTGTCGAAGAATTAGGCATGAACCATGCCGAAACTTGGACCCCCGGCGCGCACCCGAAGGCCGCGCAAACTTGCGCGCCGCTAGAGGGGAGGGGGGGGGGAGGAGGAGGAGGAGGAGGAGGAGGAGGAGGAGGAGGAGGAGGAGGAGGAGGAGAGGAGGAGGAGGAGGAGGAGGAGGAGGAGGAGGAGGAGAGGAGGAGGAGGAGGAGGAGGAGGGAGGAGGAGGAGGAGGAGGAGGAGGAGGAGGAGGGAGGAGGAGGAGGAGGAGAGGAGGGGGGGGGGAGGAGGAGGAGGAGGAGGAGGAGGAGGAGGAGGAGGAGGAGGAGGAGGAGGAGGAGGAGGAGGAGGAGGAGGAGAGGAGGAGGAGGAGGCGGAGGAGGAGGGGGAGGAGGAGGAGGAGCACTCTCGAATAGTGAGACATGAACCCATGCGCAAATTTGGACCCCCGTCGCGCCACCCCGAAGGCCGCGCACCCCGAAGGCCACTCGGGCGGGCAGGGCGCCTCTCCTGCGCGCAGGCCGCAGCGCGGGCCCCTCCTGGGACGGCAGCCGGGGGGGCCGTCCCCGGGCGGAGCCGGCCCCCGCCGACCGGCCATAACTGGGGGAGCCGTGGTCCTTACCCCCCTGGGGGAACGCATCGCATCGACGATCCCTCGAGAGGGGGGCCGAAATCGATGAGTCCCCCAGGAGGAGTGAGGACCACAGCTCCCCCAGTTGTTGCTGGCCTGCCCCGGCGCGCGGCCAGAAAACGGCACACTGGCCCCGGGGAAGCGGTGTACAGTCAAAACTCGCAGGAGGACACAAAGATGTCCTCAGGGCTCGGGGTGCCCCTTGTGTCCTTGCCTCTGCGGCCCGTCCTTGCCTCTGCGGCCCGTCGCGAATTCTCACTGACCAGCCCTTCTCAGGGTGTTGGCAGTCCGCCGCCCAAAAAAAGTGGTGCCAACTTCGGCCTCCTGATGGTCCGGCTTTCCACCACCACCACCTCCATAAGTTGGAGGGGGGGGAGGAGGAGGGCGAGGAGGAGGACGAAGACGAGCACTCCAACTCATGGCGGTTATGATGGAAAACACGCCCATCATCTCCCGCTTGACGACCTGCTGGACCGCCCCGACCTGGCCCGAAGACCCCCCTTTCGGGTTGGGGGGGGTGCACGGGCGACGACGGGCGCGTGAGGAGCGCGCACACGGGCGCGGAGGAACCCGCAGCCGCCGAGGGCGAACGCTGCCCGTTCGGCTGCTTTTCTGCCCTTTTTGTGAGCCTGTTTCTACGTGATGGCGGAAGTCGTGGAAATCCTCCTCCTCCTTCTCCTCCTCCTCCTCCTCCTCCTCCTCCTCCTCCTCCTCCCCATATGCGAGCGACGAAGAGAAACGGGTCTTGCGCAAGGTGGCGTGGCAACCTTGCGCGGTGGCTCACGCGGGCCGCCAGCGTGGCGCGCCACGCTGCAAACGGCGGCGCCCACGCGCGACCTCACACGGGCAGCTTGCGCGCGAATGTCGGTGAAGACGACCCGTTGTCTGCCGTCGCTCGTGAGTGTGCTTCAATCTTCCCCGACGCGTCTCCCGTCTGACTGCCTACTAGACCACCCCGACTTCAGCCGAAGACCCACATTTCGGGTGGGGGCGCGTACGGGTTTCACATGTGGCTTTCCAATCCTCCCCGACGCCACGTCCCCCTCCCCACACAGCCGGGACGGAAGGCACATCGGGGCCTTTGGGTTGGGCTGGGGTCGGGTGGGCGGCGAGGCCGTCCCTGCTGCTACTCCCCACCCTGCGGCACCTGCTTCTCTGACTCCTCCTCGACGGAGGAGGGCGAGCAGGAGATCACGCCAGTCATGACGCACACAGCTGGACCACCAGATAGGAGAACATCCCTCAAGAACGTGGGGCCCTCCGCCGGCCAACACACACAGCACCCAAGGGTATCCTCCCCAGCATGCACAAGGACATCCAACAGACACACAGAACATTGGGGTACACTCCCCGAGCCGGAATCGATCTCATACCTCGGTCCGACCGTACGAACTCTGTCGAGAACTGCACAACGCACGCGCAAAACTGCTTCCTCAGACACGGAGATGTGGGCAGACGCTGACTCAATCAGTGCGGGGTCACGTTCACAGCGAGATGAAAGGCTTCGTGCGGAAACGTGAACAGAAGCGAGAAGATCTGTGAGGGTCAAGCCTTCCAGCTGGACCAGTCAGCGGTGAAAGCGCACACACACACAAACACAAACACACACAAACTTGTGATCCTCCGACGCGCGGCTGATCTCAACCGCGGATGTGTGGTCACGGGGCACGTTAATCACGAGTCAGCTTCTGTGTAAAACGGCGAAGAATCAGGAAAACGCTTCCATCGACAAAAGTACCCTTAAGAGCGCGGTGTGCAACTTTCTCTACTAATATATGAATGTTATGTCAAGGGGACTTGTTGGCGCCCACTCTCCAACATCGGTCATCGTGGAACTTTAGACTCGCGCTGGCCCAGACCGCGCTTCGACATCAAGAGAGGCGACGCTGAAGGGGCGAAGGGGGCGACACCGAGGGAGCGCATCCACAACTGTTGAGAGGGGAATGTTGCCGAAGGGTGCAGGAAGACGCGCGTGAGCGCATCCAGGCCCGCCAAAGCGGGCGGTGCGCGCACACACACGCACACACACACACATACACACACACACACACGCACGCACGCAGGCACACGCACACACGCACACACGCACACACGCACACACGCACACACGCACACACGCACACACGCACACACGCTCACGCGCACACACGCACACACGCACACACGCACGAACGCACACACGCACGCAAACGCACACGCACACGCACACGCACACGCACACGCACACACGCTCGTGCACACACGCATACGTTCTGCGTCGGCGGCTGGACAGGGGTCGTCTGCGCTGGCGGAAGAAGCTAACTAAACGGGGGCACCGTTGTAGCGAATTGGCCAGCATGCAAGAGGAGGAGGAGGAGGAGGAGGGATGGAGCGGGCGGCCGCAGGGGGGGCGTGAACAGAGAGGGCAACTCAGGGGGGACGGATCACTATCTGGGTGTGCTGGCGCGGCCAGTTCCGTCACGCGCGCGCACACACTAAACAAGCACGCGCGCGCGTATGCGCACGCACACCTTCTCCTCCGACGCGGTCGGAGGGTCGACTCTGCTCTGCCAGCTTCGCCGAGCACGGTCCGACGCGACGTACAGCGGCTCTCGCCCACGTGCACACTCGTCCTCCACCGCGGCGACGGGGCATCGGCCAATCTTCAGCCAACGAGGCGCGCAAGCTCGAACTGCAATAGCCCGTACGTCGATCGCGAAGAGGACGCCGCCTTGAGGGGGAAGGTTGGGGGGTGACCAGCTCAGGGGTGGGCTATCAGGCCCAACCGAGCCTCTCCTATTCCCCCCTGACGTTGCCCCTGACTTGTTCCCCAGGTCCAGGGCGCAGAAGCCGAAGCGAGGAGCGCAAGCAAGCGTAGACTTACACCGACGTAATGACTGGCTAAGCGGGGTGCGCCTGGATGGCGCGCGGGGTGCTGAGGAGGAACGCTGCTCCTTCGGCTCGTATCCGCACTGCTTGCCGCCCTCGAACACCTTGACGACGTACTCCCAGTTCCGCGCAGTTGACCATCTCACGGTGGGATTTGTCGAGGGGTGGGGCGCGCATCAGAGAAGCGTGGCAGTGAGGGAGGAGAGAGAGGCGCACTGCCGTCAATAAGCCACTAATAGAAGAGGAGAACCGACTTTGCGAAAACCTTCCCCCATTCGGGCGGCCGCCGACAGGGATCCAAGAAATCAACCAACACCACCACCGTCAACAGAACAGCACATAACGCACACGGCGACACACACCTGAGAAGATGCGGACACCCCCGTCGGGGAGCTGACGCAGCATCCGAACAACACGAAACGCGCTGGAATGATATGTTATGTCGTAACCTCATGCTCGTGCCCCGTCTGCCGGCCCGACGTACTTGACCCGCACGCTCCCGCCGGGTCTCCGCTCGAGGGGCGACTCGTACGGGAGCTGACGGCCTCTCCAGCTGACCAGCCTCGAGCTTGTCCCTACCCCTACGATGATCCATGTCTTAGAGATGCGCCCTCGGAAGCGGGGAGATCCTTCGGATCGGCATCGAGATAACGCGATGCCAATCGTAGGGGCAGGGAGCTGTCACAGCCTCGCAACCCTCCCGAGCAGCCCGCGAGCGCCAACAGAATAGCAACCGAGTACAGTTGGCGCCGCGCCTCCCCCCAGGGAGGCGGACTCGAGCTTGGGAGGACGTGGACTCGCCCAGCGGGGCCGCCAAGAAAGGACGGGGCCTGAGCCTGCTCCTCTCCGCGGGGAGGGAGAAGCGAGCGAGCCGCCGCAGATGACGACGGCGCCAAGGCACCCGCGGAAGCGCAGAGCGAGCCGTGTCCTCTTCCTCCTCCTCCTCTTCCTCCTCCTCCTCCTCCTCCTCCCTCCCTCCTCCTCCTCCTCCTCCTCCTCCTCCTCCTCGTCCTCAGACTAGTTCTTGACTATTCTGGAATACTCCTCCCGTACAGGGACGTGCCCGACTTACGCCCACGCCGGCACCGTCACAAAGCGGCGGCAGACCCAGGCTTTGGCAGACTCTCGCGCCTTGCGCTCCTCCACAATCCCTCCCTTCGGGGATCTTCTGCTGACCAGGGTCAATCATCCAGACCCGGGTCAGCCAGGACTTGCAGAATCCTTGCAAAAATCCTGCGAGATCCTGCACCCAGACCCGGGCCGATGCAGAGGATCAAGTAAGACCCTGCAGGCTCCTGCACCCGAACCCGGGTCAATGCGACCCTGGCCCTGCAGGAACCTGCAAAATCCGGCGCTCTGGCTGACCCCCGTTTGCATTGACTTGTGGATGCCATGACAATGGACACTCTAACAATCCGACCATTGAGTGAAACATGTCTTTAACATGTGTAAAAACATGTTCTGACAATGGTTCAGACCTGTTTTTTTACAGGTTCAAGACATGCTTGAGACATGTTTTAGACATCTGGACATGATCTGGCGGCATGGCTCCTCTCCATTATTATCGACTTCCACGAGCATTGACCCCCGCCCCTTGACCACCGACCCCCTCGCCATCGCTCGGACGTCCATTCCCTGTGTTTTTGTTCAGTTTCGTGCGTATTTTTTTCGCCAAATGATCCAGGATGCTCCTCGATGGTCCTCGCCGAAGGGAAAAATGCACATCTCGAGCGGTGCCAAGCCCCTGCAGGCTCGGCCAGGGGCCCGGGCGCGAGCACGGCTCTCCGAGCCAGTGCTGCGCCCTCGGCGGCCCGCCCGCCTCCACGCGCCACCGGGGGGCGGCACGCCCGCGCCGCGCTGCCGCGCCGGCGCTGGCCTCTGACAGCGCGCGGATCGCACCCGGAACTTGGACGCCCGAGTTATCCGGGGTAGCTCGGGTCCGGGGTAACTCGGCTTTGGGTCCCCGAAAAACGAACCCGAGTTAGCCCTGACCCGAGTTACCCCTGATGATTCGGGGCTCTGGACGCCCGAAATATCCGGGGTAACTCGGGTCCGGGATAACTCGGGTTCGGGCTCCCGAAAAACGAACCCGAGTTAGCCCTGACCCGTGTTACCCCTGATAATTCGGGGCTCTGAGGAACGACAGCGGTTTGCCCACAGCGGGAGGTCGGGCACGCCCCCCTACAGGCGGACTCTGGACGAAGGATGCAAACGTGTTTCGAAAATGCCCCACAGATAGTCAGACAATACTCCAAGATCGCCCCCTGGTTATCTTTACAAACAAGAACTATTGAAGGGGCCCTGGGACACACAAATAAATACACACAAACAAATAGACTCCCCATAGTTTCCTACATCTTCTGGGTTTTTGTCTTCCCCCCCACTTCCCATATTTTCCACTATTCTTGTGAGAATCGACGATTCATTGTGTCTGTGTGTTTCTCTTCCTCCTGAGAGAGCCCGACCGCCCGCCGAGACCCCATGCCACAGGCGCGCAGCTGGCCTGGCGCACCTGGCCCCCGCAGACCTCCGCCGGCCTGGCTCTGCCAGCCCGCGGCCCCGCAGAGGGCTCCGACGCCTCCCCCGGGAGGCCGACATCGGGGAAAGCCTGCCGCATGGAAGAAACCAGACCGTCGGAGGTGTGGCCCGCTCGGCGCACCCAGGCTCTGCCCGGCGTGCCCGGCGCACCTGGGCGCGGCCAGGGCACGCCTGGCGGCACCCGACGCGCCCGTGCTGGCTCGAGGCAGGCGCCTGGGCCTCGTGCTGCCCGTGCTGGCCCCACGCCGGTGCCCCACGGTGCGCCCCACGGTGCGCCCGGCGACCAGCCACGAGACGGGAAGAGGGCCCGACGCCGAGGCTGGGGTCCGCAAGCGCTCCTGGCGCGCCTGGCGCTCGGGCTCCGCACGGCGGTGCCGCAGCCCATCCGCGGCGTGGCGCGGCCTCCCCTCAGCCGCAGGGACGATGGCGACGACGTCGTGGTGCGGTGGTCGGCGGCGAGCGAGGGGGGGAGAAGCGAGAAGGAGGAGTCCTTCTCAGAAGGCGTCTCCGGGGAAGGCTTAGAAAACTTCTCGGAAGGCCAGGGGACTTTTGAGCTTTTTGAAAAGGCCCGCCCCGTCTCACTTCCCGCCCAGCTCGCCGCCGAGGTTGGCCCAGGGTGCCTGCCAGGAGCGGCGGGGCGGGGTACTTGGCCCCTTCCTACGGCGAGGTCGTCGTTATGATGCGGTTGGCTCCAAAGGCCGCTCTGGGAGCTGCGCGGGGTCTCTGATGGCCCACGCCCCTGGAGCTGGCGCGGGGAACGGCAGCGCAAACTGGACATCTTGCATGCGCATCATGATCGCCACCTCGTGCTCCTCTGAGTTTGGCCGAGGCGCGTCACTTCATGGGGGGCGATAAATGGGGGGGAGAAAGGTGCACTTCTCGAGCCCTGAAGGCCTGAAGGCCTCCTTTGGGCCCCAAGCGACCCCTTTAGGGGCCCTGGGGGGGCCCTTTTCTGTAGCCCTCGCTGCCCCCCCATTTATCGCCCCCCCCAAGACGCGAGGCCCAATGCCCTCCTGTCCCTCCGCCGCCAGCAGGGGCAAGCTTGCCCCCAGAGTCCAGTGGCGTCCACGGCGACCACAGAATCGGAAGCCGACCGAAATCACAGCGGAATCGAGACCGACCGAAACCGACTGCTCCAGTCTGGAGGGAGACAGCGGCGCAGCGACCGACCGACCCGAACTGGCCGAATGCAACCGACTGCGAGGCAGCCGAACCGACCGAACCGCGAACATCCTCGTGGAGTCCCTGCGGCCCCTCGCCCTCTCCGTTTTACCCAGGCTGGGGCTGGCCTGACTGCCGCCTCCCGCCGTGCGGGTAGGGACGCTCGGGGAAAAAGCGCGCAGAGGGATGACCGGGAAGGATGAGGGACAACGTTCAGGGGGGGGGGGCAGCACAGGGGGGGAACATCAAGCTGGAATCGGCGATGCATCGCCGACACGTCGGCGATGGCCCCCCCGATGGGGAAGCCGCACGCTGAGCGGGACGGGCTCTCATCGGGCCCTGTCGGCGATCAGTGTGCCATTGGGGGTCCATGCGTTCCCCACTGAGCCCATCCCCGTCCCCATTGGTTTCTGGCCATAACACGAGCCCCGGCGGCCGTTCGAGACGATCCGGGCACCCCCGGAACGCTCTCGGCGAGGCGCAGCCGTTGGAACGCATCCCGAGGCCGGAAAGCCGCCGAGAACTGACGCAACCGCCCGGAAAGCTCACACCTCGAAGACTTGGGCATAGCACCCCACCCCCTTGAGACTATCCCCCCCTGGCGTCGTCCCTGAGGAGGAGGGCGCGGGCTCAGAGCTCCGCGCTTCCCGCGGAGAGGCCGCCGCTCGGGGCGTCCAGGCTCATGTCCACGCGGGGCACGGCCGCGAGCTTCTCCTTGGCAACGGCGCCCTCGGTGGCCACCCACGCGGCGTACGTGTCGACGAGCTCTGCTCGGGACACCTGCCGATCGCCGTCCAGGTCGAAGAAGCCGAGCTCCTGCACGCTGAAGCTCCCGTTCCTGGCGTCGAAGAGCGCGTCCGCGTGCGCGCGGATCTCCGCGGGCTTCTTGGATCTCGGCTTGGCGCCTGCGAGGGAGCCCCACTTGGACATCGACTTCCAACATGAATTCATGTCGCCGACCCTCCTGAGCCGCGGATAATAGGCGCGGTAGTAAGACACCGGCTCCGGGTGCCTGAACTGGGTGGTCAAAGCCACCGTGCACCCCTCCGCTGTGTTCAGAGTCTCGTGAATCCAGCCTGGTGGGAAGAGGATCGCGTCGCCCTCGTTTGCTGTGAATTCAAACATCGGCTTCCACTTCAGGTTATACGCTACGCCTGAGGGGCGAAAAGAGCGCACCGAACCCACTCCCCTGGAAGGAGGAGCGGAGGTAAGGGAGAGAGGACCCTGAGATCCGACGCTGCAAAAAAAACATCGTCAACAATCACAACCGCAGCCCTAGACCCCGTCTTCCTGCAGCCAGATCGATATGTGATGGCACTAGGGCCCAAGACCAGGCGAGAACGCCCAGTGAGACAAAACCGCAGCGCCCAGATCTCAGGGAAGGTGCGGGCGGAGGGGGCTGGAGGAGGGGAGGGCGGGCAGGTGCTCTCCCTTTCGACTCCCCGTGGCCGTCGTCGAAGACGACGTCGCCGTCCCTGGATCTCCCTCCGCCCTTCGGCATGCGAGGAACCGGGCCGATACGCCACCGCCGCTGGCCGCTGAGCACGACGCTCAGGGTACTGATGCAGTGCGAGTCCATGTGCGCGCGTGCCCCCGTGCCCTTCGCCCCCAGCCAGAACTCCGCGTTCTCGAAGAGGGACTCACCGTTCCTCTCATCCATGAACTCCGGCACGGACCTGGCGATCAACTTTCGCAGGCGCTCGACAACGCTCTTGGACCCTGCCGCGGGCGTGAAACATAACCGTGAGCCCCCGATAATCACACCCCGGGGATAAAAAGTTCTGGATTCCAGGGGGTCCGGGGAGAAATAACCATTTTCCCTCGCAACTTGCATGTACGGATGTACGGTGTACGGTGTGTGGAGTGTGCCGATGTACGGAGGCACGGAGTGTCGAAGCATGGACACAGCTGTACGGGTGTGCAGGACGCGTTCGCAGGAAAACTCCTTGAGGGCCGGTCCAAAATCTTTCGTGTCTGTGCCCTATCTGGGCGCAGTGACAATTCAAGGGGGCCTGGCCCCTACCCATAGCCATTGAGGCTCAGAATGGTAAACATCCGATGGCCTTACCATGCGTTTATGACCTGGGAAGGCTGGAATGGTAGGAACCCGATGTCCCTGCCGCACGTTCTTGACTTGGGCAGGCTGCAACGAGGATCCCGTGGCCCTGCCACTGGTTCGTGATTTGGGAAGGCTGATATGATGAGAATCCGATGGCTCTGTCACACGTTCGTGACATGCTGTTGCACATGCGAGGAAGACAACAAAAACGATTCGTACTTCGCCCGGTGGATCAGAAAAGTCGGCCTCGCCGCCCCCCACCGCCGACTCAAAGTGTCGGGATAGTCATCACTGGGGGGGTTAAAGGGGGGGTGCTATCTATTATCTGGGGCATGCGGTTACAGCACCGGTGCCCCCACATTCCCTTCCCCGCATCCCCCATTTGTCCTCCTCTTCCTCTCCTCTCGTTCCGCAGAGTGGTTGGGCGAAGGAGAGATGACACGACACCCGCGCTCTGGGATACTGATGTCTCACGTTTCGCTGCAGTGCCGACGTTTCACTGCAGCGCCGACACACCCCTGGAATATTGCACCTCACTGCATCACGTCTCACTCTTCCACAGCAGAGCGACTGGCAGTGTGCTGCATAAGATCGTGCCCACAACTTTGCCAATGCACCCCTGGCGTGCGCGGCCATCTTTCCGCCGATGCGCCGTCCTGACGCCAACTTCGGGACGCGCTGACCCGGAGCAGCGCTGACCAAGGCCAGCCTGGGCAATGTGCGAGGCGGGGATTTATCCAGATCCACCGCCTGGGAACCGTTCTGGTGCCCCAGCGGGCAGTGATGGATATATTTTGGCCCGCTGGGGCCCAAATAAGTCCATATCCAACGGCTGCCAAGGTCCCCGAAAATTGATCCTCCAGGCGGTGGTCATGCATGAATTTCCGCCTCGGACAGTGTTGAAGGGGCCCTGGGACACACAAATACATAGACACAAATGACAGGATTTCCCGTATTTCCCCCCATATTTTCTCGGTTCTCGTTTCCCCCCACTTCCCAGGCAGCCTGGCGCAGATTTGTGATTGATGTTGCGTGTCTCCCTCCTCCTCCTCCTCCTCCTCCTCCTCCTCCTCCTCCTCCTCCTCCTCCTCCTCCTCCTCCTCCTCCTCCTCCTCCCCCTCTCCCCCCTTGTCCTCAAGCAGCGCACGGTGTGAATTAAGAGGCAGCCGACGTGCAGACGCCCCCGCAAAGCGGTGAGCCTTGGCTGGCATGGTCCTCTTTTGCCCACGCGCTCCGGCGTATGGCATTTCGTTCGTTCGTTCCCATATTTTCTCGGAAATCGACGATGAATTCTGTCTGTGTGTTTTTTTTCCCTCCTGAAATGTCGCGAACTCCGCGCTGGCCACGAAGCCGCTCACGGGGCCCGCGCCGGCGGAGAGCGGGGAGGGCGGGCCGGCTGCCCACCGCGGCCAACCAGAGGGGCCGAGCCCTGGCCATCGCTCAGACGTCCATTCCCTGTGCTCTTGCTCGGCTTCGTGCGTGGTTTTTTTCGCCAAGCGATCAAGGTTGGAGGCCTGGAAATTGGCACCAACACCAGCACAGGGGGTTGCCTCCACATGGGAAAAATGAGCCTAGATTTCGGTGCTGGTGGTGATATTTCGGTCACCTTGGAAACCAAAATATTAGCACCATCACCGAGATCGGGATCGTCTCCCCTCGGTGGAGGCACACCGCCGATCTTGGTGTTGGTGTCAACCTGTAGGCTTGCGACAGGGATGCTCCTCGATGCTCCTCGCCGACGGAAACATGCACACGTCCGAGCGATGCCAAGCGCCGCGAGGGGACTGGCCGACCCTGTGAGCGCTGTGCCCCGCTGCCGGCGCCCTGCGAGTTCCGCGCCGTGCCTTACGCCGGGCATGTCTAGGGGGCCTGGTGCGAACCCTACCCCTACCCCCTACGATTTCTGAGGGGGAGGGTGGGGTTCACTTCGCTCGGGAGCTCCCGAACGAAGTGAACCCCACCCTCCCACTCAGAAATCGTGGGGGGTAGGGGTAGGGTTCGCATCTGGCTCCCTAATGTCCCTGCGCAGGAGGAAGACTCGAGAATCGTAGAACAAAATTAGCCTGGGGACGCTTTTTCGTTGTTTCTGTTATCGTTTTACTTTTTTCGGGGAGGTTATTTTTGACTACTCATCATGTGTCTTCAAAATTATGCCTGCAGGCGGACACGCCCGACCTATGTAAGTTCAGAAGTTTTGAACTTGTTGTGGGGCGCAGAATAAGAAAGGTCTGGGCGGCCCAAGGTCGCCTGGAGGCACGTGCGTCGACATCGCGCGAAGATTAGCGGGCAGAAAACGCCGCAGCCGCTGCAGCCTGGCTTGGCTAGGAGGCCTTGGCTCAAGAAACTGTTTCGCCTCCGGGTCGACGCGCATCCGCTTCCAGCCTCGTGGGCTCGGGGCAGAAGTGAGTTGGAAAGGCTTCGGAAATAAAAAAAACGTGAGAACATCTCAAACCTCGAAGTACCGGGACCTCCGCCAGCATGATGTTAGCTACATGCGCGGCCCCGGAGGTCCCGACCCCTGCTGGGCCAGTCTGCCGACCAAACGCCGAAGTCCAAGAAAAACGCATGGACTGAAACTTGCATGAGCGACGAAAAGAAGCGGGCCCTACTCGAGATGACATGTATCGGCCTCACGCGGCGGCTTGCGCGGGCCAAAAGCGCGGCACGCCTCATTGGAGACGAGGGCGCTTACGCGCGACCTTACGCGGGCAACCTACGCGTCAATGTCGGCGAGGACGACTCCGTTTTTGTTATTTTTCCCACAGGAAGAAAAAGCGGCATAAACGTCAACTTTTGGCGCTCCGCGCGGACTTCCGACCTGGACCCCCCTCCCTCACGCGCGCGGAGCGCGCCAGGGGCGGCGCCCGAGGCGCTGATAGGGGGGGCCCAGCACGGATCCAAAAAATCCGCGCGGAGCGCCAAAAGTTTATGTTTATGCCGTTTCGTCTTCTTCGATCGGGGGCGCGCAAACATGGATTAGCGATCCATGGATTTGGCGCGCGGTCGCCAAATACATGGATCGGGGGAGGTGCCCTCCCCAAAATGCGGCCGGTGCTGCCTCGTTCGGCGGCGGAAATCCGAGATTTCCAATGGAAACGGGACCCGTCGCTAACCCACGCCGGACCGCCCGCATGCGTCCCGCACATACAGTACAGCGCTTCGTGGCCCCATGGGGAGCCCCACCGAAGGTCCCAGTGGGACCGCCCGCATGCGTCCCGCACACCCAGCACAGCGCTTCGTCGCCCCATAGGAAGCCCCACCGATCCATGTGTGCGATCGCCTGATTCGAACCGTGTCGCAACCGTGTTTTCCACGAGCAGACCCTGTCGTAACGGCGCATCCTTGGAAAATGCGGCCGAATTGTCGCAACCCCGATTCTCAGCCGAGGCCCCACCGCACATTTACCGTTTCAATGGCGTGCCGCATTCTCGCATTTGTTATGATTTATCCGAGGGGTTACCATTCGTGCACTCTTCCGCCCACGCGTCCTGCCGGATGCATGGCTCAGTGGTGGTGATTCGAAGCAGAGAGCTGGGCACCCTGCCTGCCCCCCACCCGCGGGCCTATGCCCCCCTGCCGGTGCTCCCGGACCCCCCAGTAGAACGGCGCGAACGGCGGGGCGCTGGGGTCCTGCTGGAGGCGGTCCGCCGCATCCTCCCCGGCGGTGGTCTCCTCGCGCTCGCGCTCGCGCCCGCGGGGGGCACGGGCCAGCATCGAGTCTGGGCCCGTCGGGCCGGGCCGGAGCGTGCGTCGACCGGCTCGGGCTGCAGGTCGGCCCCCGGACCCAGCCGTGCTCTCCTCGTGAGAAGCAGAACTCACGGCACGGAGGCGTGTGGCAGTTCTCGGCCTCCAGAGGCCCTCGCCAGGGATGAGAAGAGCTGCCCTGGGGAAAGGGTTGGGACTTCTGCGGTTCCTGGTCTGCAAACAGCAAGGTACCGCGTGCCCGAGAGAGTCTTGGCGGCGCGCACAAGAGGGGGGAGGGAGGGGGGAGGGCTTCTTAGAAGGACGCTGCTTCTTACAAGGCGCCGCCCTTACATCGATAGAGAAGGCCCGCGCCTCCTCAGAAGCAGGAGTGCTTCTAAGAAGCCCTCCCCCCTCCCCCCACCCCCCTCTGCGCGTGGCTGAGAGTCAGAATCCACGCGGGTCGGGAACGCCAGGATGCACGGCAGCGCCACGCAAGCGTCGGGCCGCACCGGATCGCCAGAGCATCGGGATCGGATCGATGCCGACTCAGATCGCTCGGATCTGCATGAATCCTGAGTGAGGGGACAACGGGGGGGTATATGGCGACAGCGCGCAGACCAGGATCGATGCCTACTCAGATCGTTCGGATCTGCATGGATCCTGAGTGAGGGGACAACGGGGGGGTATATGGCGACAGCGCGCTGACCAGGATCGATGCCCACTCACATCGCTCGGATCTGCATGGATCCTGAGTGAGGGGACAACGGGGGGGTATATGGCGACCCCGACCCCCGACTGTACTTGGGGGGGGCGACGGGGGGAGGCTGGCCCAGGGGGGGAGCATCAACTAAAGGGGCCCAGGGACACACAAATAAATAGACACAAATCCCAGGATTCCCCACAGTTCCCCAGATGTGCCGGGTTTTCGTCTTCCCCACCTCTTCTCATAGTTTCCCATATGTTCCTGGGAGTCGACGATTCGTTGTGTCTGTGTTTTTTTTCCCCTCTGATAAACGTGGGGTCGGCAATGCATCGCCGGTAGACCTGCGACAGGCCGATCACGAAACCGTGCGCTCCCGTGCGGGGTGGGGCGCCCAGTGGCCCCCATCGGCGATGCATGAATGGGCGCTTGGAGGGCGGTGGGCCCCCTCCTCCTCCTCCTTCTCCTCCTCCTCCTCCTCCTCCTCCTCCTCCTCCTCCTCCTCCTCCTCCTCCCCTGGGCCGGTCAGCCCACCCCTGTCGTCGCCCCCGGTTTGTGCACTTGTTGACTGCAGGCAGCAAAATCGGGGCCCGACTCAGGCATGCACGATACAGGGAGGGCGCCAAACTCGGGCCGGGCGAGAGGGGGGGATAGCAAAGAGGGAGTTTGAGAATCAGCTCGCGTAGCTGATTTTCCCAGCGCCTCCCGGCGCCGGGAGGCGCCCATGCATCGAGGAATGGGCCAGGCGGCGGGGCCCAAACCAGCTTGCATGCAGCAGATTTCGTAACCCTCCCCTTTCCCTATCCCCCCCTTTCGTTCGGCCCGACAAACGTCGGTGTGGGTGCGTACGAGCCCCCCGGCCAAGGATGTGTCCTCGAGTCCCCCTCTTCTCCCCGAAAGCGGCCAGGCTCTCTGGGTGGCGTTCGGGGCTCGCGGGCGAGAACTCTCGCCTGCGGGGGGGAGGCCGGGGACGCGGCTGGAGCTCCTCGCGTCGTGGGGTAAAGACGGCGGCAGGATGAGGATAAATCCAGGCAAGGGTACCCAGCGGTCGGAAAAACTAGGTAGAAGCATGAAGTAGGAGAGCGTTGAACATAGATTGGGTTCCGTCTGCCCCCTCGGGAGGACGGCAAAAGTGAGGCCACTCGATCCTTGAAGTAGGACGGCGCTGACAGTGGAGTGGAATCTGGGAATGCCCCAAAGTACATACCTTCAGCGGCCGATGGCCAAGCCAGAGAAACACAGCGTTCGAGAGCAGAGCCCGCGAGGCGCATCGGGCGCCGGGGCCGTGTCGGAGCGCTCTGGCAGGCTGGAGCTGTGCACCGTCAGTGCCTGCCCGAACCAGACCTCCGACGCCGTGCTCTCTCCACGACGCGGGCCCCCACAGGGCCTCAGACTCCCGCAGGCCTGCGCCCCAGCGCGCCGCGGCAACCATCGCCACGGTCGGCCTCTCCTCCCTTCGCGCCCCCCCCGCGGGCCCGCGTCGGACCCCGAAGGCCGTGCGAAGACGGCACGGGGTGCATGGGAAGCCAGCCCCGGCGAGGGGGGAAGGACGGAGGGGCGAGATGGGACCCCTCCTCCTTCTCTTCCTCCTCCTCCTCCTCCTCCTTTTCCTCCTCCTCCTCCTCCTCCTCCTCCTCCTCCTCCTCCTCCTCCTCCTCCCCTGACGAAGGGGCGAGGCGAGCCGGGACCAGGATCGCGACGGGAGATCGTGCCGCCTCTCTCGGCTTCCGCGGGCCGTCGTCGGGCCCTATAGTGGCCGTCAGAAGACGGCTCGGGGCGGGAAGCGGGTCCTCCAGGGGAGGGCCCGAGACCTCTAGAGGTCCACGCTGCGAACCAACGTTCCGCCTTTCTCGGCCTCCGCCCCTGCCGCCCCCATTGCGAAAGCGTGGAGTTTCTCGAAATACCCAATGCACCATGGGGGGCATTATGAGGAAACGCCTCTGGAGCCACCTCCCCGTCGTCGGGCCCTACTGGCCGTCAGAGACGGCTCGGGGCGGGAAGCGGGTCCTCCGGGGGAGGGCCCGAGACCTCATGGAGGTCCGCGCCGCGAGCAGAGATCGCGACGTGGGAGGCCCGCGGGAGGGGAGGGGCCTTCCGAGCAGGCGAGGCGGGGCGGCCTTTTCAGAGAGCACGGGCTTGCTCTCAAAAGGTAAGGCGGAGCCCCGAACAAAAAATACTTCGCCCAGTCGCACCCCGGCTCGCGGGGCCGACCTCCTGTCGCAAACGAAAACGACAACGACGAGGACGACGACGACGACGACGAGGACGACGACGACGACGACGACGACAACGATAACGACGACGACGACGACGAGGAGGAGGAGGAGGAGGAGGAGGAGGATGATGATGATGATGCTGACGATGATGATGAACATCATGATGGTTATCATGGTGCTGATTGTGACACTGGTGATGGTGATGATGGTGCTGATGATGAGTTTGATAATTATGACGAGGATTGGGTTGCAGGGCTGAACCTAACGGTGTTTTTTGTTTTTTTGTGTTGTTGTTTTCACTCGTTTTTGTCTCGAATCCGCCTTTACCGGCCTGGCGCTTTCACTCGCACAACGACATCGAAGCAAAAACGGCCCACGAAATCGCCAAAAACACAGTTTAGGTCCAGCCCTGTCGAGGTGATGGTGGTGGCGATGATGATGGAAGCGTGCGCCTCTGCTGTGCTCCCCCAGGGAACGGGCCAGCCGCGCCTCGGAAGCTTCCAGGAGGTCCTGGCCTCAAGCGGCAGCGGAGGACTGAGGGGGGCGCGGGGGCGCGCCAGGGCGGCGGGGGCGCCCTCTTCGCCCGCGCCCCGCCCCGCCCCACCTCGACCCTGCGCGCCGCCCCCGGCTCCGACACCCACGAGGTGCTGCCCATCTTCTGCAGGTTCCTGTCGCGGGGGTTGGCGTTCCAGTCGTACTCCCGGCGCATCCTCGCCTCCGGGAACTCCTGCGAGGGGCCCCCGCAAGCACCGCCCCGGGGCCCGGGCCTCGGTGCCACCGGTGCACGCCCCGGCGGCCTGCCGCGGGCCAGCACGGAAGGAGGTCCGGGCCAAGGCTGGGCGAGTGAAGGCGTGGCGGCTCAGGTACGAGGTGGAAATATTATGCATATATATATACACATATAGATACACATCTATATATAAGCACATCTGTAAATACACATCTATAAATCGATGCATATATATACATTTTTATATATATATATATATATATATAGGTGAGGCTGTCCTCGGGCCCCGGGGACGGTCCCAGGAGGTAGCCACGTCCACAGCCTCCTTAAGGGTCCAGGGGAACCGCGGCCATCCGGCCAGACGTCCGACGATCCGCGTGTTGTTGTGCGCGGCACCGGAGGTCCCGAGCCCTTCCGTGGGGCACTTCGTCATCCCGGACGAACGTTCGATAATCCTGGCCCCGCGAACGGGACCTGCACGGAGGCCAGAGTCTGAGAGAGACGCCGAAAGTGAAGCAGACATACCTCGTCGGAGATCTGGGCAGCCCGTGCACGTGCAACGAAATGCGGCATCGGAGCACAGGGGCGTTGTCAGAAGGCTGGCGGCAGCGGACGACAGGGGTGGACCTAAACGGTGTTTTGGCGACTCCGTGGGCCGTTTTCGTTCCGACTTCGTGTTGCGTTCCAGGCGGATCGAAGACAATATGAGGGAACACGACAGCAAAACGAAAACGAAAAACACCGTTTAGGTTCATGAAGGGGCCCACAAACACACAAATAAATACACACACACAAATAAAACGATTCCACATATTTTCACATATTTTCTAGGTTATTGTCTTCGCCCCCACTTTCTATATTTTCCTATATTTTCCTGGGAGTCGACGATTAATTGTGTCTGTGTGTTTTTTTCCCTCCTGAGTTCAGCCCTGGCGGACGGAAACCTTCCCTCCCCGCGCTCCTGCGCGAGCCGCTCGCAGCTCCAGCCCTCCATGGCTCCGCCCCGGGTCGCGTTCGCTATCAGCAGCACCCTGCCGGCCCGGGCCGCAGCCTCGAACTCTTCCTTGGTGATCCCCTCGCCAGGGCGGCCAGAACCCGCAGATGTGTGCGTATATATATATATATACATGTACATATATAATCACAATAGCCCAGAGCCATATAGACCCACATATATATATATATATATATATATAATCACACAAAAACGCCCAGAGCCATCTGCGCAATTTTGCGCACCGGATCGATCATTGGGAGCTCCGGGGCCCCAAGAAAGGCGACGACGCCCGGCTCGAGCAAGATGAAACGCCAGGATCTCAGGGGAGGCCCTCCGACAAGGTGCTTGCTTCAATCCGGGCCTTTCTTTTCTTCGACTTCGGCCTCCGGGGCCCGGTATTTGGCGGCGAGCGAGAAGGGGGGGAAGTGAGAAAAAGAAGGCCTTCTCAGAAGGCGGCGGGGCTTCTCGGAAGCCCCCCGGCCTTCTGAAAAGCTTTCTGCGTCTTGGGCAAAGGCTTAGGAAACTTATCAGAAGGCTGGGGAACTCCCGAGCCTTATGAGAAGACCTTCTCCTTCTCGCTTCCCCCCCCCCCCCCCCCTTGCTCGCCGCCGAGGTGTGTCGGGCCCCCGGTGCCATCAAGAGTGGATCGCCGGTGCGTAAGGCTTGCCGCAGGAGGGAGCTGGAACCTCTGGGGGCGCGCGCGGCTAGGTTCGGCCCCGCGGCCAGGCTTATTCCTCGACGCGCAGCCGTTCCCAGCACCGGGTTCACAATAGCTGGTGCGGGCATTCGAGACGTTGAAGTAAAGATTACTTTGGGCTCAGTCGGACGGGACTAGGACGTAGGACGAGCAGAAATCCCGTCCAGAGCGTTCCAGAACGCTCTCAGAGCGCTCTCAGAGCATTCTGGTACGTTCTGAGAAGGCCGCGGCGCCCGAGGCATTCTCCAAAGCCGCCAGATCTCAGAGATTCTCGACATATCCCCACCCAGAATGATCCTCGTCCTGGCTTCATCTTTCAGTGGACACCCACGCCAAGAAACACCCTGCTTGCCTCCAGGGTGCCCTGGGCCTTTCGGGTTTCAATGACTTTGCCATGGAAGGCGTGGCGCTCCCATACCAACAATCACTGGAAGTCCTGGGGTCTCCAGGATTGGTTTCTTGTGGCAGGTCTTCTGTGGTCGAGCTCCTGCTGTACTCAAGGGCTTAGTGGGCCCCGGAAACGGCAGGGCCGTTCTTTCACCGTTTCCGAAAAAATGCCCCTTGAAAATGGAAACGACAAAAACACGGCGACCGGAAACGGCAACAAAACCGGCTCCAGGATTGGAACCGGAGCGGGAGCCCGAGAAAGAACGGCGACGGAACCGGTAAAAAAAACGGCCCTGTCGTTTCCAGGGCCCACTAATCAGGAGGGACAAACATACACAGACACAATTAATCGTCGATTCCCCAGAAACTATCAGAAAATATGGGAAGTGGGGGGGAAGACACAAACCCAGAAAATATGGGAAAATATGCGAAAATATGGGGAATCTGTTTATTTGTGTGTATTTATTATTTGTGTGTGTCCTGGGGCCCCTTCAACTAAGTCCAGGGGGGGCCCTGGTTCCGGGGCCGCTCCTCGGATCCAGCCCGAGGGGCGCCCTCTCCGTGATGGCTGGGGCCGGCCGTGGCCAGGAGGCCCCCTTCCCTGCTCCTCCTCCTCCTCCTCCTCCTCCTCCTCCTCGTCCTCCTCGTCCTCCTCCTCCCTCCTCCTCCTCCTCCTCCTCCTCCTTCTCCTCCTCTTCCTCCTCCTCGTCCTCCCCCTCCTCTTCCTCATAATTCTCCTCCTCCCTCCCGCCTCCTCCTCCTCCTCTCTCCTCCTGCTCCTCCCCTCCTCCTGCCCTGCTTCCTCCTCCTCCTCCTCTCCTCCTCTCTCCTCCTCCTCCTGCTCCTGTTCCTTCTCCTGCTCCTGTTCCTTCTCCTGCTCCTCCTCCTCCTCTCCTCTCCTCCTGCTCCTCTCCTCCTGCTCCTGCCCTGGTCCTGCTCCTGCTGCTCCTGTCCTGCTAACTCCTTCCTCCTCCTCCTCCTCCCCTCTTTCTCCTCCTCGTCCTCCTCCTTCCTCCTCCTCTCCTCCTCCTCCTTCCCCTCCCCCCCCGCCCCCTCGCGCGCGCCGCCGCATCACCGCCCCGCCCACCATTTCCGTGGGGGGGGGGTCCGAATCTCACCGCCCGCGCGGTTCGGGCCGCCCCCGGCCTCGGCCCTGGGCGGCTCCCCGCCCACGGACCCCCCGAAGTAGTCCAGCTCCAGCGGCTCCGCCAGGCAGCCCTCGGCAGAGAGGGGGACAGGAAAACCGGTGGCCAGGGGCAAGACCGAACGCGGAAACGCCAGTGCCGATTTTGGCCATTGCCCATACTGGCCATCGTCAATTCATGGATCATCCTCGCGAGTCTGTTAGGAGCGGGAAACACACAAACTTTTTGATCCTACCCGCCCTCTGAGCGTAGGTGGTCTGGAGAGTTTTCTCTTCCAATCCCTTCGGAGACGGGTTTATCACCGTCTCTATCAATATACATCCCCTCCCCCAAGGGACCGGCGGCCAACCAGCAACGCATGGGCCCCCACCCCCACCATCCATGATCAAAAACAATACATAACGAACATCCCCTCCACATTTGGAGCATTCGCACCCGTCCCGATGCGCCCCCCTTCCCCCCCACCATCCCGGCAAAGTCTTGAGTCTTGTTCGTGAGGCCCGCGAGCGCCCTGTATTGTTTTTGACAGGGGCGGCGGGGATGTCAGCATATTGCTTGCTGCTCGCAGGCCTACCATCCCAATCAAAAAACAATACAGAATGCGCCTCGCGGCTAAATCTGGATCATGCGCGGCCACCACGCGATCACTGTCAAGTGGTTTTTCACAAGGACGGCGGGGGTGGTGGCGTATGGCCTGCTGTGCGCAGGCCCACCAGACACAATGATGGGCATTGCTTTTCGACAAGGATGGTGGGGGCCGACACGTTCCCCGATGTGTGCTGTCACGTCCGCGGGCGCATCTGACACACTCTTCACGTGCCCCGAAAGTGGCACGCCTGGCGCTGCTGGAGCATGCGGCACACCTGGCGCACGCGGAGCACGTGGCGCATCTGGCGTGCCTGCCACACCCTTAAATGTTTTAGCGTATGTGCGTGGCGCTAGGGCGAGAGCAACATTTTTAAGACAAGAAAACCCACAATCCGTGAAACTCTTGCACCTGTTTAAACAGAATGCGCGCGGCGCTAAGGCGAGAGCCACATTTTGAAAACCACCCGCCCTCAAATGTGAAACTCTTGCATAGTTTTAAAGCGAGTGCGCGCGGCGCTAAATCAAGAGCCACAACTTGAAAACCACCTGCCCTCAATCAGTGAAACTCTTCCACTATGTTAAAACGAATGCGCGCGGCGCTAAGGCGAGAGCCACATGTTGAAAACCACCCGCCCTCAACCTGTGAAACTCCTACAACTGTTTAACACGAATGTGCGTGGCAGTAAGGCGAGAGCCACATTTTGAAAACGACCCGCCCTCCATTTGTGAAACTGCTGTCGCTCTTGAAGATTCCGAATCGTAGGTGGTGAGGAAGTCTCAGGCGAAACGGCCGGCCCGCCCTAAAAAACTGGCCTCGGGGTGCGACAGGGAGGAGTTATCTTATCTATGAGGAGAAGGAATGGAGGAGGAGAAGGAGGAGGAGCAGCAGGAGCAGGAGGAGAGAGAGAAGGAGGAGGAGGAGGAGGAGGAGGAGGAGGAGGAGGAGGAGGAGGAGGAGGAGGAGGAGGAGGAGGAGGAGGAGGGGGAGGGGGGCGTCCCAAAACCGTCCCAGGGGCCAAGAACCCAGATCAGCGGAGGGTCGGCCAGAGGGGCGCGGCGGATGCCCCCTCTGAGATTCGCCGTTGCGGCAGGAATGCGACATCGCGAAAGAGCACGACCGAATCCCTGGACCCAAGCTTCCTGCCGCACTTTCCTGGCCGCATCGGCCCGTCTCGGTACCTGGGCGCCCCAACACCGAGCGAAAATCGCACGGTGTGCAAAAGCATTGCAGGGCCCAGGTCTGAGGGTCAGGGCCGACCTCCCGCCGCACGCGCGAGGACCCCCCCTGGGAGGCCGCATGCGAGCCCTGCCCTACCAGCCCAGGATTTCAGTGCGGGGAGGTGGGGCTCCCTCCGCTCGGGACCTCCCCCGAGCGCGCTGCACCCCCACCTCCCCCCCCCCCTCAGAGAAATCCTGGTGTGGTGGAGCAGGGCTCGCACGTGGCCTCCTCTCCCCCACACCGCCAAAACAAAGCATCCCCCCCAACAAAAAACATACCCCTCCCCCCCCAAAAAAAAACAAAAATGCATCCTCCCCCCTCCCCAGAAAAAAAAAACGCACAGCCGAGGCTGGGGAGGAAGAGGGGAGGAGGAGGAGGAGGAGGAGGAGGAGGAGGAGGAGGAGGGAGGAGGGAGGAGGAGGAGGGGAGGAGGGAGGAAGGAGGAGGAGGAGGAGGAATAGGAGGAGGAGGAGGGGGAGGAGGACGAGGAGGACAGGAGGAGAGGAGGAGGGGGGAGGAGGGGGGGAGGGGGAGGAGTGGGAGGAGGAGGAGGAGGAGGAGGAGGAGGAGGAGGAGGAGGAGGAGGGAGGAGGAGGAGGAGGAGGGGGAGGAGGGGGAGGACGAGGAGGAGGAGAAGGAGGAGGAGGGGAGGAGGAGGAGGAGGAGGAATCGGCGGCGGGGGAGAGGGAGGACCCCCCGAGCCTTGCACAGGCGCGGCAGCAGCCGCGGCGGCCGCCCGTGCCCGCCGACCGTCCGCGCGGAGGCGCCCAGCCAGCAGAGGCCCACCGCGGAGGCCGCCGGGGCGCGCCGGCCCCACGGCTCGCCGAGGACCATCCCGCGGCGGATGTGTGGCCCGGGCGGCCGAGGCCGCTGGCCGCGCCGCCGCGGCCGAGCCGCGGCAGAATGGCTGCTGGCCCCTCCGACTCGTGTTGGTCCTGGGGCCCCCCCTCCTCCTCCCCTCCTCCTCCCCCTCCCCTCCTCCCTTCTCCTCCATCTCCTCCTCCTCCTCCTCCTCCTCCTCCTCCTCCTCCTCCTCCTCCTCCTCATCCTCCTCCTCCTCCTCCTCCTCACACCCGGTCGACGATGGCTACCGCGGAAGGACGATGCTTTCTCCGGCTTATGTTGGTCCGAAGCCTCCCTTGGTGTTGGGTTTCTCGTTTTGAACAGGGCAGTGGGTTCGCCAACTCCCTGGGCCTTCTCCTCCTTCCCCCCCCCCCGATCTCCTCTCGGCTCTCTCCTCTCGCATCTTGGCACCACGATATGACGAAACAGTTGTCAACTTGTTTTTCAGATTCGCTTTCCGCTTTCCGTAACCATCAACTTTCGCGCGGTATTCCGCTTTCGCTGCTACATGCCCCACTGTCCAGGGCCGATCGTTTCTCACATCCGTTTTCTGCAACGTATGTCAGCGCGGAGGATCTGGAAAGTTCATGTGCCGCGAGACATCAAATGGTTTCCCAAGGTGCAGATGGGACTTGCGGCCTTGCACCATGCGGTAGGTGTATGAAGCCGGATATCAAATTGTAGGCCCAAGTGGCGCATACTACAGGTTCATGTTCGTTCCCACGCCAATGAACGCGCGTGTGTAGAGGTGAGTGTGTGCGTGCGTACGTGCGTGCGTGTGTGTGTGTATGTGCGTATGTGTGTGTGTGTGTGCGTGTGTGTGTGTGTTTGTGTGTGTGTCTGTGTGCGTGCATGTGCGTGCCTGCTGGCGCGCGCGCGTGTGTGTGTGCGTGCGTGCGTGCGTGCGTGCGCGCGCGTGTGTGTGTGTGTATGTATGTGTGTGTGTGTGTGTGTGTGCGTGTGTGTGCGTATGTAGGTGTATGTTTGTGCATTTGGAAGTGTGTGTAGCTGTGTGTGTTTGTGTTTGCATAGCTGTGCCTACGTGTGTGCGTGTGGGTGTGTGGGTGTGTCGCTACGTGTGGGTGTATGGGCTGTGGTTGTGTGGGTGTGCGTGTGTGGTGTGTGTGTGCGCGTGTGTGCGTGTGTGCGTGTGTGCGTGTGTGTGCGTGTGTGCGTGTGTGCGTGTGTGTGTGTGTGTGCGCGTGTGTGCGTGTGTGCGTGTGTGCGTGTGTGCGTGTGTGCGTGTGTGCGTGTGTGCGTGTGTGCGTGTGTGCGTGTGTGCGTGTGTGCGTGTGTGCGTGTGTGCGTGTGTGCGTGTGTGCGTGTGTGCGTGTGTGCGTGTGTGCGTGTGTGCGTGTGTGCGTGTGTGCGTGTGTGCGTGTGTGCGTGTGTGCGTGTGTGCGTGTGTGCGTGCGTGCGTGTGTGCGTGTGTGCGTGTGTGCGTGTGTGCGTGTGTGCGTGTGTGCGTGTGTGCGTGTGTGCGTGTGTGCGCCTGCGCCTGCGCCTGCGCCTGCGCCTGCGCCTGCGCGTGCGCGTGCGCGTGCGCGTGCGCGTGCGCGTGTGTGTGTGTGTGTGTTTTCAATCGCACCGGGGAGGGATGAGACACGCTCTGCCGCGAGCAGTCCAGGGGCGCAGGCCGCCGCCCGCCCCCCCTGCTGTGGGCGGAGCTGACCCCCTCGTCGTCGTCGTCGTCGTCGTCGTCGTCGTCGTCGTCGTCGTGGTCGTGGTCGTGGTCGTGGTCGTGGTCGTGGTCGTGGTCGTGGTCGTGGTCGTGGTCGTGGTCGTGGTCGTGGTCGTGGTCGTGGTCGTCGTCGTCGTCGTCGTCGTCGTCGTCGTCGTGGTCGTGGTCGTGGTCGTCGTCGTCGTCGTCGTCGTAGTCGTCGTCGTCGTCGTCGTCGTCGTCCGCCCACATCAGGGGCGGGTTCAGGACTGCCGGGTGACAGCGCCCACGGCCGACGCTGCCCTCCCTCCCCCCCCCCGCCAGACCGCGGAGCTGCCCCCGAGCCCCGAGGGCCGCACTGGAGGCCTTCCGAGCGGGCGGGGCGGAGGGCACAGGTGCCCCGGCGGCAGCCACCGCGCGGGAGGTAACGCTCGGCGGCTCCAAGAGGCTCTTCGAAGAGCACCAGGGGCTCTTCCGAGAGGCTCTTCGGTGAAGGGGGGGGAGCCTTTTTGGACCCCCCCCCCCTTCACCGCACTCGATAATTCGTACACTCCGGAGGACCCCTGGCCATACTAACACCCACCAGGCCGCAGTAACAACCAACGGGCCGCAGTAACACCTTATCTCGCTCGGACCCCCCCGGCCACGCCAAGGCGGGCCCCCTTCTCGCCGCTGCGCCCGCTGCCGAGAGCCCCCCCGGGGGCGCTCGACTCGTCCCGCCCGACGAGGGCCTCGCTGAGTTGCCCCCCGAATGCTCGCGTCGCCGAGAGCTCTCTCGGGGTGCCGGTGCTGGCGTTCTGTGACGCGGGGGGGAACCAGAATGATGTCCCACTGATGTCCAGGCCGACAGCAGCGCCTGGGGGTCCCAAGGGCAGTCCCCCTGCGCCACTGCGCACCTCGCCGAGGGCCCGGGATGCCTGGATCGTGCCGTCCTGGTCCTGGTTCCTCACCCTGTCCCCCCGGCGGAGGGGACGAGAAGCAGGCGACGTCAGACAACCCTTGCGACCCTCACCCTCAGGCGGCAACAGGCCCTCCGTGCGCCGGGTCGCCTCCGTTACGGAATGCGCCTCCGGCTGCAGGGAGTGCTCGTTCCTTCTCCAATCGCTCGCCTATTCGGCATCCCCCCCTTCCCCCTCCCTGCAGCCGGCCAGAGGATGCAGGCAGCCGCTCCCCCAGCCGCTGGAGCACCAGGCGACAGCGACGACGCTGCCACTCCCCCCCCGCCAGAAAGCGGCGCAACCCCCGAGCCCCGAGGGGCGTTCACGAGTATCGAGCTGGCGAGACGGAGGGCCCAGGTGCCCTTGCGGCAGCCACCGCGCGGGAGACGACGCCTCGGCCTCTCCCTGGCAGGGCCGCCCCCTCCTCGCCGCGGCGCCACTCACCGGGAGCTCTCCCGGGGCGCCCGGCTCGTCCCGCCCGACGACGGCCCCCCCGATCTGCCCTGGCCATCGCTCGGGCGTCCATGTCCTGTGTTTTTTGTTTTGCTGCCGTGCGTGGTCTTTTCGCCGAATGATCAAGGATGCTTCTCGATGATCCTCGCCGAAGGAAGAATGCACACGTCCGAGCGATGCCAAGTGCCCTTCGACGGCGCGCGTCGCCGAGGGCTCTCCCTCGGGGTGCCCGACGACTCGCCCCGACGGGCCGTGGCTACTACGTGCCGCCCCCCCAACGGAGGAATGGACAGACGGGGAAGTTCGGCTGTGGGGGCCGCCGACACACCCCCAACTCGGGCGTCATCTTCCCAAGGGTGCGGGCAGTACTTCTGTCCATGTCCACTGCGATATGGAGTTCCGGGTCCCCTTCCCCAGAAACCAGAGGCGCGCTGGATGTGGATAAATTTGCCCCCTGGAGGCTCGATTTTTATCCATATCCAGTGCGCCTCGGCCTTGCGATGCTCCTTCCAAAAAAATCCAAGACGCACTGGATATGGATACGAACCTTGCCCGCAAAGGGGGCCCTCTCCACGCCGCGGCGCCCCTTGCCGAGAGCGTGCCCGACTCGCCCCGGCCCACGGCGACCTCGCCGACTTGCCCCCCGGCTGGAAAGAAGCATCTTCAGAAGAGGGCTGGTGGCCCTGGTGACGGGAAGCAGAAGAGGCTTACGGCGAAGACCACCAACAACCCCAACTACGAGCCCCCCTGGTGGAGGAGGCGGGGGCGTTGGGCACGGGAGCCGCCAACGACCCCCCAGCCACGGTCGCCTGCATCGATGCGAAGCAGCGCTGCCCCCACGGCGGACAAACGCACCCTGTGCCAGGACCACCCCTACCAAAACCGCAACGTCCCGGACCCGGCAGTCTACCGGGCCCTCTCCCCTGGGGCCCCGCTGGGCCCAGGAATGGCGCGTGCCTGCTGTCCGACTCTTGCTCGGTGACGCCTCGGCTAGGGCGTGTGGTGGCACTGGGGTTGCCGGCGCAGGGAGAGGGTCTTCTTCGCCGCGGAAGGGTTGTAGAACGGAGGGGCACCACCCCGGGCACCACAAGCGCCCCTCGTCGCCACGGCTGGGAATTGGTGCCCCAGCGCGCCGTCTCGCGCAGGTGGATTGCGCGCCACTGCCGAGGCGGGGCGGCGCCTGGCGCCCCACCCTGCGTCCTGCCGAAGCTGTGATGGCCTGGCCGCAGGTAACCAGCCTCGAACTTATCCCTATCCCTGAGATTGACACGCCAAAAGGTAATGACAATCTTAGGGATGCACCCTCAGAAACTAAACTCTGACTGGACCGGGGGACAATTTCTACGTGTTGCTACGCTGGACCAGATTGATCGGACCACTTCCTGATTTCAGGGGCTTAGCTTTGCTCAAGTGTTTCAGCGCCGCACTCCGACACCCACGACTATGTCGTACCTGTTCACGGCCGTCTTCTGTGACCTCATAGTTTCCCGGCCGTCGAAGTATTTGCTAGCAGCCTTGCAAGACATCCAACAGGAAACACCTCAAGCTACCCGTTCCACACCGGTCCACACACCGCCTGAAGCCTGGTCCACCCTTGCGAGTGTCACTACGGGCCTCACCCTCCTCTGGGCCAGGAGCCACTGGAACGGCGACGGCGACGACGGCGGCCACTGGCCCAAGCGCAGGACCGTCTGAAGGGAAGGCCCGTGACGACCCACATGGGCAGCATCCTCCGAGCACCATCCTCCACGGCCTCGCGGGCTAGGCCCCCACGCCGCGACCCCGTGGGCACGGGGCATCTTCTCGTGGATGCCCCGCGCGGAATGCATCCACGTGACAGCGAATTCAACGGGACCGCGCCCTGGGAGGGCCTGGGGAAGGGGGTGGGTGGGGAAGAACAGCATTTGCTGCTGAGCATCGCGCCTATGTTCTCTGTACCCGTTTTGGGCTTGCCAAATGTCTGTTTCATCTCCGCCACCAGGCCTTGTCGTCGATATATAGCTCCCTCCGGCGCCAGGAGGCGCTGGGAAAAACAGCTGCGTGCGTCTGACTCTCTAACCGCCCCAATGCTGTCCCCCCCTTTCGTCCTCCTCCTCCTCCTCCTCCTCCTCCTCCTCCTCCTCCTCCTCCTCTCCTCCTCCTCCTCCTCCTCCTCCTCCTCCTCCTCCTCCTCCTCCTCCTCCTCCCCTCCACACTCATGTTCCTCCTGCTCCTCCTCTTCCTCCTCCCCTCCACATCATCCCTCATCACTCCTGCGCCTGCTTCACCTCCTACTCGTTCTGATCCCCCTCTCCTCCTCCTCCTTCTCCTTCCCCGCCTATTCCTCTCATCCTCCCCGTCCTCCTCATCAGCATCATCAGCAGTATCATCATCATCATCATCATCATCATCATCATCATCATCATCATCATCAGCATCATCATCATCATCATCATCAGCATCATCATCATCATCATCAGCATCAGCATCAGCATCAGCATCATCATCATCAGCATCATCACCATCACCGTCATCATCATCACCATCACCATCATATCGCCGCCATCATTAATCGCAATCGTCGCTCATCGACACCATTGTCATGCCTCTCGCAACCAAAAATTGTCATCATCATCGTCGTCCTCATCATGCTCGGAACAATCAGCACCATCATAATCGTCATTTTCATCAGCATCAGCATCAACATCATCATCATCATCAACAACACCATTTCATAATCATCACTACCACCTTCATGACCTCCATGTTATTCATCATCAGTTGCCGCAGCGTCAGCATCATCATCAGCGGCACCATCCAGCATCAACCATCCACGGTCCACCATCAATCGCCATCATCAAACAACCGCATGATCATCATTGTCATCGTCATCACAATCACCAAAATCATCAGCATCGTCGCCGTCATCATCAACATCATCATCGTCATCAACAGTGTCTTCGTCACCAGTATCGTCGTCATCGTCAGCATTATCATCGTCATCATCACCGTCATCATCATCATCAGCACCGCTGTCGTCGTCACCCGCATAATCGTCATCAGCATCATCATCACCATCATCATCATCGTTATCATCATAATCATCACCATCGTCAGCGTCACCATCGTCAACATCTGCATAGTCGGCAGCATCCTCATCAGACTCGTCATCAGCATCACCAACATCCTCTCCATCATCATAATCGTCATCATCATCGTCACCATCATCGTCATCGACATCCTCATCATAAACAGCACCATCTTCATCATCATCAGAATGATCATCACCATCCTCATCCACCATCATCAGCACCATCGTTATCACCACAACATGCATCGTCAACACATTCACCACCATCATCACCCCGATCTTCATCATCACCATCTCCGCCCCTCTCCTCCTCCTCCTTCTCCTCTTCCTCCTTCTCCTCGTCTTAGTACCATCCTTCGCATGCTAGTACTCCTCCGTCTCCACCCCCTCCGCACCATCGTCGTCGTCGTCATCATCATCACCGTCATCGCCATCAACAGCATCATTGTCATCAACATCAGCATCGTTGTTGCAATCATCATCATCACTGCCGTCGTTATCGTCATAATCGTCATTCGCGTCATCATCATCGTCATCATCACCATCATCATCATAATCATCACCATCGTCATCATCACCATCATCGTCGTCATTAGCATAATCGTCAACATTGTCGTCATACTCATCAGCATCACCAACGCCACCATGATTACCATCATCATCATCATCAGCATCATCATCATCATGATCATAGTCAATATCATCATCGTCATCCTACTCATCAGACCGTCATAATATTCTTCTTCTCCGTCATCATCATATTCACCGTCTACATACTCAGCACCAGCATCATCAGCGTCATCATCATCATCAGCATTGCTATTGTTAGAACTATCCTCATTCTGGTTATCGTCATCATCTCCAGTATTAGTATTCTTACCACCACCACCACCATCATAACCAACATCGTCATCACCAACATCTTCTCCCCCATCCTTCTCATCCTCCTCCTCCTCTTCCTCCTCCATTGTGTCTCATCATCATTACCCGTCGTCTCGCCCTCCGCTTCGTCCTCCTCCGACTCCTCCGCGGGCTCGTCAGGCGGCGCCGTCGTCGGCACCAACGCCCCCGCACCCCCGAGGGAAACCCCTGGTCGAAGCTTCCCGCGAGGGCCACACGGCGAGCTCGCCTGAGGGCCACCAGGTCCGTGGAGATCGCCGCCGGGCTCGAGGCCACCTTTGTGGGAGGGCCTACCACGATAGGCCAATTTCGCACCACCACTAATGCGGGATGACGATGAATCAAAAAATGGGAGAGAACGATTTAAAATAGTTTCCTGCTATTTCTGTATAATTTTCTGACTGGAGGAGAACGATAAAAAATTATCCCGGCAAAGCAACCTAACAGCGATGTGTAGAAGCATATCTGAAAGCATTCCCCTTAAGATTCAGATGAAAATCCAGTTGTAGAATTCTGCTGTTCTCGCAGTCGTAGTCGCATTCGCGATGACAGTCGCAGCGGCAACGGCAGTCAGCAGCCTCAGCCTCAGCCTCAGCCTCAGCCTCAGCCTCAGCCTCAGCCTCAGCCTCAGCCTCAGCCTGCCTCAGCCGCCTCAGCCTCAGCCTGCCTCTCAGCCTCAGCCTCAGCCTCAGCCTGCCTCAGCATCAGCCTGCCTCAGCCTCAGCCTCAGCCTGCCTCAGCCTCAGCCTCAGCCTGCTTCAGCCTCAGCTCAGTCTGCCTCAGCCTCAGCCTCAGCCTCAGCCTCAGCCTGCCTCAGCCTCGGCCTCAGCCTCAGCCTCAGCCTCAGCCTCAGCCTGCCTCGGCCGCAGCATCAGCCTGCCTCAGCACTCAAAATGTGGCCCAGGAATGGAGTTTTGGGAACTAGAAGAACACGAAGTGGCCTACAGTTGGCTCCGGGCATTCAAAATCATGCCCAGTTCTGGGGAATGCACGAGTGGCCTACAGTTGGAACAAAATGTGGCCCGGGAATGGAGCACGAAGTGGCCTACAGTTGGCTCCGGGCATTCAAAATGTGGCCCGGGAATGGAGTTCTGGGAACTCGAAGCACGAAGTGGCCTACAGTTGGCTCCGGGCATTCAAAATGTGGCCCGGGAATGGAGTTCTGGGAACTCGAAGAGCACGAAGTGGCCTACAGTTGGCTCCGGGCATTCAAAATGTGGCCCGGGAATGGAGTTCTGGGAAGTCGAAGAGCACGAAGTGGCCTACAGTTGGCTCCGGGCATTCAGAATGTGGCCCGGGAGTGGAGTTCTGGGAGGTCGAAGAGCACGAACTGTGTGACTGTTGGCTTAAAACGACTTCTGCGGCACCCTGTCCGGCACCCGCCCAGACCCCCCTGTGGAGTCATCTGCTGCTCTCTTTTGACCCTACTAGAAACCTATCAGTCTTCGCTGTTAGGTAAAAAGTTTTCCAGCCCGCGGCCGGTTTTTTCTAATCGTCATCCCGAGCGCCGCCGCGAGAACACGACCCCCGGTCATTTATTAATCGTCATCCTCCATTACCGTAGGCAGGACGGGGGCGAAGGGAGGATGGGGAGATCCTCACCCTCCTCCTCTTCCTCCTCCTCCTCCTCCACCCTCTCCGACCTATCTGTAGTGGTGGTGGAAATCTGCCCCTCATACAAACCTCTGAAAGAGCGCGCTCGTGGCACAAGCTTGAAGCTAGCCCCCCTCCCCTCCCCCCCTCCTCACTTGGAAAAGTGTGGGGGGCTTCCGAAGCGTACACTCCCCCCTCCCGTCCTTTTGTGGGCATCTCGGAGCTAGGGGGGCCTCAGCCAAAAGGGGAGGAGGCTTCCAAGCTGACCTCCCCCTTCTTTCCCAGGGCCCAAGGTCAGCCCAGGCTCCCTTTTCAAAGGGGCGGGGTTGGGGGGGGAGCTTCCGAAGCCCCCCTCCTCGTGTCGCAGCTGAGATTGCTTTGCCAAGGGGGGGCGGGGGGGCTTCAAAGCTACCCCCCCTCCCTCCACTTCCGGAGCCCATGGCCAGCCCAGGCTGCCCTTGAAAAGGAGCGGGGGTTGGCTTCGGAAGCTACCCCCCCGCCCCTCCCTTTCGCAGCTGAGATTGCCTTGCCAAGGGGGGGGAGGGCTTCAAAGCTACCCGCCCTCCTTCCAGTTCCGAAACCCAAGGTCAGCCTGGGCTTCATTTTCAAAGGGGGGGGGGCTTCGGAAGCCCCCCTCCCTCCCTTCGTCCTTTCGCAGCCGGCATTGCGTTGCCAAGGGGGGGGGGGGTATCGAAGGTACGCCTCACTTGTGGTCGCTTCCGGGGCCGAAGGTTCGCCCAGCTCGCCTTTTCAGGGGGGCAGGGGGGGTGCTTCGGAAGCTATCCTCCGGCCCCGCTCCTGTGGCGCTCTTTTGGTTTTGCGGCGCTCTTTTGGATGTCGGCGCCCTTTGGGTTCTCCGCGCTCCTGTGGTTTTTTTGGCGCCCTTTTGGTTGTCGGAGCCCCTTTTGGGTTTCGGCGTCCCTTTGGTTTTCGGGGTTCCTTTGCTTTTCGGCGCTTCCTTGGTCTTTGGGCACCCCTTTGGCTTTCGGTGCCTCTTTTGCTTTTGGCGCCGTCTTGATTTGTTCGGCGCCATTTTGGTTGTTGGGCGCCCCTTTTCGCTTCTGGCGCCCTTGTGGATGTCGGCACGGCTTTGATTTTCGACACCTCGTTCGTTTCTGGCGCGTGATGATGATGATATGATGATGATGGTGATGATGGTGATGATGATGATGATGAAGATGTTGCTGATGATGATGAGGATGGTGGTGGTTGTGATTGTGTTGTGTTATGAGAGTTGCGATGATGATCATGGTGATGCTGATGCTGATGGTGATAGAAATAGTGATGACGATGGTGATAGTGATGCTGATGATGTTGATGATGATGATGACGATGCTGCTTCTGTTGATGATGATGACGGTGACGATGATGATGACGATACTGACGATGGTGGTGCTGGTGATGCTAATGATGGTGATGACTGTCGCACGCGCGTCATACGAACGTTTGACTTTATTTCCTTACCAGGTTCGTGGATCCCTCAAGTTTGTTTTAGTGCGTTCAGGGCGGTGTCTCCGACGTCGTGGAAGGTGTTGGCTTGTTCGGATGCGGCGTTGTATTGGCGCGGATGTATGATGTGACGGAGGTTGGTCAGGGGGGCGGGAATGAGGAAGAGGAGGAGGAGGAGGAGGAGGAAGAGGAGGAGGACTAGTAGGCGGACGAGGAGGAGGAGGAGGAGGACGAGGACGAGGAGCGCGAAGGGGAGGAGGAGGCGGTTGAGGAGGAGGACGACGTCGACGACGACGTGGCGGAGGAATAGGAGGAGGAGGAGGAGGAGGAGGAGGAGGAGGAGGAGGAGGGAGGAGGAGGAGGAGGACGAGGAGGACGAGGAGGTGGTGGAGGAGGAACGGCGGCACACGGAAGGGGAGGGTCTGGGGATTCGAGGTCCTGTTGGGGGCGCCCTTTGATTTTCGGTGCCTTTTTTGATTTTCGGTGTTCTTTTGTTGCTCGGTGCCCCTTTGGTTTTCGGCGCCCTTGTGGTTGTTGATGCTCTTTGGTTTTCGGTGCTCTGTAGGGCAGGTCGTTCGATACAGCCGATCCTGGACCACCGGCGGCGTTCAACCTTGGGGTCGGCCCCGCGTCGACACAACACAAGCACAGCTTATTCAGCCGCTTGCCTCCAGCATCGCTACAGAGAAACCCGAGAAGCTCCCAAGAGGGTCCCAAGAGGGCTTCGACAAGCCCCAAAAGAGCGACTTTAGGAGCAAGCAGGGAAGATACATCGAAGCCAAGCTTAGTTAACTCAACTCAGTTAAGCCACTCTGGCCTCTACCGGGCCAAGCTCAATTAGTCAAGGCTGAGCTGCGCGCCAGGCCAAGTCTGTCCAAGAGAAGCGACTAGCCAATGTGGATTGGCCGTGGAGGAAAAACGAGTCGTAATGTCCAAAGCCGTATTTAGAGCCTGGCCGCGCCGAGCTGAGCTCAGCTCAGCTGCGGTGTTGCTACACGCGGCTGACCTGAGCTGGGCTGCGCTCGCAGAGGCAGGGCGCAACCCCGCACGCGGCTCGGCCACGCCGAGCCGCGGCGGACGGCACCGAGACCCCGCCGAGCAGGCGGGGATCACGGGCACGCGACACGGCGCACCGTGCTGCTCCCCGCCGGCACGGCTTTCGAGCCTCCCGGGGCCACCCCGTCCACCGCCGCCCAGCGGCGGAAACGCAGCCCCAGGGGCTCCAGCCGCCTGCCGACGGCGTCCCACCTGTCCTGGCCGAGGGCGGGCCGGGCCGGGGGGCCGCCGGCCGGCCGGGCGCGCCGACGAGGCCGCACGGGCTCCGCGTTGAGGTGAGAAGCGCTGCCGCCGTGCGGCCGGAAGGAGCGCCGAGGCCGGAACGGCGAAGGATCTGCGAAGGCCTCGAGGGTTACTCCTGCCGTCGTCGTCGTCGTTGCGGTTCACTGCTGGGCCGCACGCTGATATACATCCCTGACCAGGGCGACTCGACTAGCGTAAGTATGTTGCTGGATGGGCTGGTGGGGGTACGCGAAGCGCCAGGAACTACCTCAGCGGCTGCTTTGCACAACAGCACACGCCAGGGGCACGGCGAGAGGGAGCCGAACGACTGGAGCGGCAGGTCCTGCGAAGAGGAAGCCCGCCCACCCCCGCGTGGCAGGGGTGGAGCTGGCCATCGCTCGGACGTCCATTTCCTGTGTTGTTTTCGGTTTCGTGCGTGGTTTTTCGCGAAATGATCAAGGATGCTCCTCGACGGCACTCGCCGAGAAAACATGCACGCGTCCGAGCGATGCCAAGGGAGAGGCGTGTGAGACAGTTGGCTGTCCTCGGCGATCGGCATCGTATCCATGCGCCTTCTCACGGCAGAACTCCACGATGGGGCGGAGCGGGGGCACGGATAAAACTCTAAAGGCCGACTTCGGTGTCCGTGCCCTGCCAGGGCAGACGGAGTGGGGGCAGCCGCAGGGGTATGGATCGCACGTCGATCCCCATGGTGCCCCTCCCCCTGGCTGACCCTCCCCTGGGGTACCAATCCCGTCAGAGGAGGGGGAGGGGGAGGGGGAGGGATAGGGGGGCATGATCTCATCCACGCACCTACTGGTCTCCTGCGGCCGCCCGTTGCCCTCCCTTCTTCCCAGCCCTTCTAAAACAAACAGCTACACAAACATATCTGCCCCTCATCAAGCACCCATAGAAGCCCCCCGATGGGAAGAAGACAAACACCAACAACCACCAACAACTCCCTAACAGCTAATTCCAGAACAGGGTTCCTGCCAAACAGGCCCGAGGGCTGTTAAAACATCCCACACCAGCAAACGCATACAAAAACTACACGAACAGCTAAGAACGAGTGGCACGCGTGCCATGGCCCTTGCACATGGAGGGAGGAGGAGGGCGGGAAGAGGCAGGAGGAAGGGACAAACGGCAGAGGGGGCGGACCCTGGGCTGCAGGGGAAGGCCGGGGGGTGGGGCTGGAGGGGGAGCTGGGCGCTGAAGGCACTGGCCTGCTGGGGAACACCGGGCTGCTGGGGAACGCCAGGCTGCTGGAGGGAACGCTGGAGGGGGGGGGAGGGAGCGCGGCGCGCCGCGACAGCGAGATGGCCCGGGCAGATGGGGGGGGCACTGGGCGGGGAAGGAGCTGGGCTGCTGGGGCACGCTGGGGGGGATGTCGGGGTGGAGGGAACGCTGGGCAGAGAGGGCAGAGGGCTGCTGGGGATCACTGGGCTGGTCACGCTGGGCGGCCAGGGCCACGGGGGAGGCGGGCGCCCGGGAATGCTCCCTATAAGTAGGGCGCGGCGGTGGGGCCTGACCTCCTCGCGCGCGCTGGGGGTCGACTTTGCGAGGATGTCTCGAGCGAGCGCCCTGCTGGGACACGCGCGGCGCGCCCCAGCGCGTGCCCCAGGAATGGTCCCTGGGCGCGCGCGCTGGGGCCGGCCTGACCTCCTCGCGCGCCCCGCGAGGATGTCTCGGGCGAGAGCCCTGCTGGCGTAATTACGCCCGGAGCGCTCTTGGCGGGCGCCCCGAAAATGGCCCCTGGGGGCGCGGTAGGGCCTGACCTGGCGCGCCAGGGGTCGACTTTGCGAGGATGTCTCGAGCGAGCGCCCTGCTGGGACACGCACGGCGCGCCCCGGCGCGCGCCCCAGAAATGGTGCACGTGGGGGTGCGGTGGGGCCTGACCTCCTCGCGCGCCGGGGTTGAGGATGACACGAATTCCACAGAAACTCCGTCAAACAACACAGATGTAGTGAACCGTCGGTGATTGGTCTGATCGCCGCTGCGTGTTCTAAATTCCATGGGGGTATCCTAGGGAACCCACTGCGTCCAGAGACGTTCTTGAGAGCCTTCTCTGAATCAAACCAATACTGCAACTACCCCAAAACATCGCAACCATTTCGGCCTAATCACAACCAGACGCACTCAGTCAGTTCGCAATGGTTGACGGTTCGCCCAAAGTGGTCGCGATCGGCCCCGAACGTGGGGTGGGGGACAGAAAAGGCTGAGGCGGCGCGGCGCGACGCGAACCTAAAATGATCGGGGCGGAGGGGGCATTGAGCGGAGAGGGCGCTGGGCTGCCGTGGGAGGCTGGGGGGTCCGGGCGGAACGATTACTGGGCGACAGGGGCACTGGGCTGCTGGGGAACACTGGGCTGCCTGGGAACGCTGGGCTGCCGGGGGGGGGGGGGGGGCAAAGGGGAAGCGGAGAGGGCACTGAGCTGCCGTGAAACGTTGGGGGGTCGGGGCGGAGGGGGCGCTGGGCGAAGAGTGCACTGGGCTGCTCGGGAACGCTGGGCCGCTGGGGATCGCTGGGCTGCTGGGAAATTATGTGTGTGTGTGCGTGTGCGTGTGTGTGTTTGTGTGTTTGTGTGTTTGTGTGTGAATGTGTGTGAATGTGTGTGTGTGGTGTGGGTGTGTGTGTATGTGTGTATGTGTGTATGTGTGTATGTGTGTATGTGTGTATGTGTGTATGTGTGTATGTGTGTATGTGTGTATGTGTGTATGTGTGTATGTGTGTATGTGTGTGTATGTGTGTATGTGTGTACGTGTGTATGTGTGTATGTGTGTGTGTGTGTGTGTGTGGTGTGAGGGGGGGGGGGGGGGGGGGGGCAGCGCGGCGCTGCGCGAAAACAACATGGCCGGGGCGGAGGCTTGGCGGAGAGGACACTGGGCGGCTGGGCTGCTGGGGAACGCCATAGGCTGCTGAGCGCTGCGGAAAAGGGGGCGGAGGGGTGCAGGCGCGGAAGTAAAGTCGTCGGGGCGGATGTTGCAAAGGGCGGAGAGGGCAGTGGGCCGATGGGGAAAGCCGAGGAAGGTGGGGAGGGGGGCTGTTCAGAAAAAGGCGCTTCGGGGAGGTGCCCAGTGCGGTAAAAAAAGTGTCGGAGCTCTAGACACCGCGTGCGAGGGAATCGAAAGCGGTCGGGGCAGAGGGGGCATTGGGCGGAGAGGGCACTGGGCTGCCGGGGAACGTTGGGTTGTCGGGAGCGCCGGGCTGCTGGGGAACGCTGGAGGGGGGTGCGGTGCGACGCAACAATAAAATGGTTAGGGCGGAGAGGGCCGGGGCGGAAGGGCGCTGGGCGGAGAAGGCACTGGGCTGCTGGGAAACATGCGACGCGAAAACAATGGTCGAGGCGAAAGGAGGGGAGAGGCGATGATGGTATTGCTGCTGGGGAACGCTGGGCTGGTCTGCTTGGGAACAGCTGTGGAACGCTGGGCCGCTGGGGACCGCTCGGCGGAGCGGGGGGGTGCGACGCGAAAGTAAAACGGTCGGGGCGGAGCAGTGCGGCAGGGGGAGCCAGGGGTGGGGCGATGGGGGGCACTCACTGGGCTGCCGGGGAGCGCCGGGTTGCTGGGGAACGCTGGGGGGAAGGGGCGGGGGGGCGGGCGGTGCGACGCGAAAATAAAATGGTCGGGGCGGAGGGGGTCGGGGTGGAGGGGGCACCGGTAAAATTGAAGGAGCTCTAGACACAGGGTGCAATAATCAAACGACACACGAAGGCAGCCAAACTCGCTCGCAAAAATTATCCAAAGATGGCCACAAGGTCTCGGATGAGCTGTCGGATTTGTCGCTTTCCTTCTGTGGAAGCGAAATGCTAATGGGCAAATTGATGTGCAACGGAAGGCTTGGGGACGAAAACTTGCTGGCAGGCTCTGACCGTCAGTGGCACTGGACAATGCCACAGTGGAAAGCTTGTCGATTCATATCTGTATCTCAAACCTGAGCAACGTTGAACAGTTGGCATTGTGATCCAGATGCAGCATGGAATATTGGAACATATCAGAGTCAGAGACGATATTCTGGCTGCGTTCAGGGATCAATGCTTGATTTCCAAATTTGTTTCAAGAGCTATCACGCCGAGTGCATGGAGCGAACGTGCTAGCAACGTTAGTTCAACGCCACCATGCTAGACGCTAGACGCTACGGTTTTCAAAAACGACACGTTTGCTCGGATGTGCATACTGCAACTGAGGCCATACGAGAGATCGGCAGTACAGCGAATCGCATTGTTCCCGCAATCGAGCCACCCAATGGCGGTGCATCGCAGTTGGCTGGCAGCGGAAATGTGCAGGCTGAGGGCTCGTTGCAGCAACGAGGCTATTTTCCAGAACGCGAGATTGAAATTGCTGAGCCATGCCAGAATCATTTTGGAATCGACGTGAATCTGTCGTACTCCCGAGGGGTGGAAAGAGCACTGAATGAAGCGATTGCCAGGTGGACGCTGGAGCCGTCTCCCTTGTTTCAGCGCAGGCCCTTCACTTTTGGCAGCGTCGTATCAGACAGCCGGTGGCCGAGCGAGCCTTTAAGCTGGGAGTTACGTTTTTGGATGGTGGATGTTTGGATCACCGGGCCCTGCCCTTCCTTTTCCCTCCTCCTGCATGGCAGCCAAATCGCCGCTTTGTGGTGCCCCTGCATCGCTGCCACGCTGGAGCGGATTCTTCCGCCTCGCTGCCGACGAACAAAAGTTGGGGTCGTTGGAAGGATCAGCAGAAGTAGCAGTGTAGAATCGCAATCTGCTTGCCGCAATTGTGCCACTTTTTTTTTTGAGCGGGCGGCGCTCGTAGCGCCCCAGGCCCCATCGTGCCGACGGCTCGCTGGTGTAGTTCCAACGGGGACCGCCAGACCCAGCAGCACATCGAAGCCAGCAGAGGACGGACCGGCGGAGCGCCACTCCTGGTGGGCTTGTTTACCACCTCCACCACCAGAGGCAGGCGGGGGAAGGGGGTCCTCCTTCTCCTCTTCGTCCTCCTCCTCCTCCTCCTCCTCCTCTTCCTCCTCCTCCTCCTCCTTCTTCTCCTCCTCCTATGACCTTGTCATTTGGGCCCGGCGGCAGGCACCCCGACGAGGCAAGCCCCGCCTCCCCCGCTCGGGCCCGGGGGGCGGAGAGCTAGCAGCCTCGAACGTATCTCTATCCCTAAGATTGACACGCCAACAGGCGATGCCAATCTTAGGAATTCGCCCTCAAAAAATAAGGGAATCCCTAAGATTGGCATCGTGATGAGGAGGTGCCCAGCATAGGGATAGGGAGACGTTCCAGTCTGGTAAGAGAGGCGTGTGCGGTGCAGTCGCTGGCGGCCCCCCGCGCTCCCTGCCTCCTCTTCCCCTTTAGGAGGCAACCACTGGGAGGTCTTCGGCGGAATATGAAGGAGGATCAAGCCCCAGATGGGAGCTGCTACGCTGGAGTGGGCCTCGGACTAAGCAGGATTAAGCCAGATCAAGCGGGATTAAGCGGGATTAAACTGGATTGCGCGGGACTAAGCTGGATTAGGCCGGATTTCGGACCAGGGTAAAATCAGAATTTGACCTCCCAGCAGTTGCATCCGAAACCCCCTCCCCTGGGCTCCGAATCCCGCTGGAGGGGGGGAGGTGATGGGGGGCACGGACTCATCCACGCACCTCCTGGGCCCCCGCGGTCTCCAGATGCCCTCCCTTCCTTCCGGGCCCCCCCCCCCGCCCTCTACGAACGAACAACTGTATGAATTATACAGGCCCCGAAAGAAGCCCACCCGTAGAGGCCACCCGAGGCGAATGAAAACATAAAAACAACAACATCGCAAAAAAAGACAGCTAATTCCATACCAAATCACTGTTTGAACATGCCTTTGTCCACAAACAGGCCCTGGCCGAGGGGAGTCAAAACAGCCCAAACCAGCAAAAACATAAAAGAACTGCCCGAACAACTGAATAACACAGTCCAAAGACGCCCCAAGACAGCGAGGCTGGCTGAAGACTACCAAAAGGCCACCAAGGCGGTCACAAGACTGTCCAAGAATGCCTCCAGACGCATGGCTTGAGATGGCCTCACAACTGCCCAAGAAGGTACCAAGACGGCCCACAAGGGCTCCAAGAGGACGCCCGAGAGGTCCGAGAGAGCAAAAAACAATGTGTTGTTCCTTTGGACTTTGGCAGATGAACGTACTGGCCATTTCTGGATTCCGAAGGCCCAAGACGGTCCAACAGGCTTCCAAGAGGGCTCCAACACCGCTCCGACACCGCCCGACAGGGCCCAAAGAGGGCCCCAAAACAGCTCATCGGGGGCTCCAACACGGCCACAGAGGCCCTCAAGACGGCCCAAGGAGGGGGCCCAAGACGGCCCAACATAGCCGCAAGACGGCACAAGAAATACCCAGGACTTCGAGGCGAATCCGGCAGTGGCGACGAGGGACACGTAACTGGCACTGGTAGATTTGTCTCCTCTGAGTCCATCGCCCGCTGATATAACGGGAGATATGGCGACCCCAATCCCAGACTTTTCTGAGGTCTTCGACTGGAAAAGAACATGTTGCCCAATTTGGGGACTTGCGATGGGAAGTGTCTATCCTGGATTGGGGTGCGTCCGAATAGCTCGCCCCCCTGGGGTGCATCCCCGAATTCCCCTCCTGCTCTGAGGTGCAAATTCGTTTGGGGGGGGGGATTCGGGAAGACTGAGGGCGAGAAACCGACTGTGACCTGATAAAGCCCGAGGCTAGAAGACCAAACAACAACTGCACAAGCATAGACTGTCGGAGGGCCGCGCGGATCTCATGGATCGGCACTGGGCCCAGTGCAGATCCAGGGGGGGGGCCGTGCTGTTTCTTCTTGCAGCATGGCCCCCCTGCATGTTTGCGCTTCTTCCAGAGCGTTGAATCTTAGCGCGTCTTTCCTGTTCTTCCTCCCCTCCTCCCTCTCCTCCTTCCTCTGCCTGGTTGTCCCCTTCCTCCGAAGAGTGGCGCCATCACCAGCAACCAGCCCTTTACTCGCCAATGCGCCGTAGGAGCGCCGGACTCGAACAAAAAGAAAGAGCCGTTTCTTCTTCTTCTTCGAGAGAGAGAGGCGCCTTCATGTTTTGAGCAGGGACCGACCGTCCCAGCATTCCTAGAAGTAGCCCTACCACGAAATGTCCCTAGAACCCCCAAATGTTCCAAGAACAAACGCAACGTTCTCAGAACAGAAGCCCGACGTGCCGAAACCAGGCAGTCCCGGCCAGAGATGTTCCGAGAACACTTCGTGCAGACCACACGAGGCTCTCAGAACATTTAAAGGGGAACTGGGACACACAAATAGATACACACAAAGAAAAGTATCCCCCATATGTTCCCATATGTTCTGGGTTTTCGTCTTCCCCCCCACTTCCCATACTTTCCTACATTTTCTCGGGAATCGACGATTAGTTGTGTCTGTGTGTGTTTTTTCCCCTCCTGACCATAGGCGCGCCAGGACGCCTCGCCACTGCCGGAATGCTGCTCGGGCCGCCGGCGGCCCGCCACCGCCGCCGCCGTCGACGGCCGGCCCACTAGGGGATAGGGGGCAAACAGACATACCTCGCTTTTGACCATCCTCGCCTCCAATAGGTACCAAGCGATGCCAAACTACGGCCTGCACTGGTTAGGCCGCTTGACGAGGAGGCGCGTGGTATGACTTGGTTTTACGTGGAAGCGAAAGCGGGGTGGGTAACTCACGCTGAGAGGGGAACAAGAAGCGACATGAACATGAAAACTCGGAGGTCCGCGCGGCTTTCTCGGATCGGCGCTGGGCCCCCCTCCCTGGCGCGCGGAGAGCGCCAGGGGCGGAGGAGGAGGAGGAGGAGGAGGAAGAGGAGGAAAAGGAGGAGGAGGAGGAGGAGCAGGAGGAGGACGAGGAGGAGGACGAGGAGGAGGACGAGGAGGACGAGGAGGACGAGGAGGAAGCGGCGGAGCGCGCCAGGGGCGGCGCCGGAGGCGCCGCGGGGGGGACCCAGCGCCGACCCGAGCCATCCGCGCGGACCTCCGAGCTTGTCTGTTTGGGCCACTTTCTGTTCCCCTCCCCACGGGAGGAGGAGGAGGAGGAGGAGGAGGAGGAGGAGGAGGAGGAGGAGGAGGAGGAGGAGGAGGCGGAGGCGGAGGAGGAGGCGGAGGAGGAGGAGGAGGAGGAGGCCAGTGCGACCAGCACGGGGCACGGGGCGCGCGGCCGCGCGTGTCCTGGCGGCGCTCGAGGTTCAGCACCACGGCGGGCGGCAGCGGCGGGCCCGCCTCGCCCTCGCCCGCCGCGGCCGCTGGCCTCCGGCGCACCTGCCGCGCCCCGTCGTCGCCGCCGTCGTCGCTCGTCGCTCGCTGTCTCGCTCGTCGCTCGTCGCCGTCGTCGCCGTCTCGTCGCTCGTCGCCGTCGTCGCTCGTCGCCGTCGTCGCTCGTCGCTCGCTGTCTCGCCGTCGTCGCCCTCGTCGCTCGTCGCTCGCTCTGGATGCCGACGCCGTCTCTGCGTGCCGGTGCCCTCGGGCCTCTCTTCTGCTCCCGGGGGAGCGGCGGGGGGCGGCGAGATGGCGGAGGCGGGGGGGCGCACCGCGGGCTTCTTCAGCACCGTCTTGGCGGTCTTGGCAGCGGGCCCCTCGGGGGGGAGGGGGGGGGGGACAGGGGACGAGGAGGGGGAGGAGGGCAGCAGAAGAGCGGGGGCCAGAGGGAGGAGGCATGGGGGAGATGGAGAGGGAGGGAGACGGAAACGGGCGAGGAGGGGGATCGCACGCCACTGAGGGGAGAGAAGAGGAAGAGAGGTGCTTGGGTCGGCCACAAACCCTGGGGGGGGGCCCTGAGAGAGGACCTGTCTGCACCACGGAGCGGCTTTGGCCCGCCGCCCCGTGGGCCCGCGACAGGCCGCCCCCCCTAGGAAAAAAAAAACGCCACCCTGTGAGAACGTTTTTTTCGAAGGCAGCTCTGCCGTCAAAAATTGGTCTACTCTGTAAGAACGGTTTTTTGAAGGCAGGTCTGCCTTCAACAAAACCGTTCTGACAGAGCAGACCAGTCGTCTCAGAGATCACAGGTCTTCCACTCTCGAAGCTTGGCGCCAAGGTCTCTGGCCTCGTCTTCGCTCAGACCAGAGCTCTGGAGGCAGTCTGCCAGCCAAGGGTTCTGCCCGGCCTCCGTCCCGAGGCCCACCTGGGCCGCGGCTCCGTGGGTCAGACTTACAGACAAGTCTGAACACACGACCAACTCCCCTCGAACAACTTGCAAGCCAAGTCCCCTGGTGACTGCAACGGGCCAACGCTCAGCGGACGGTTGGGGTGCTCCAGCCTGCAAAGAACCGCCCAGTTCTTGTTGACCGCTCAAAGAAGGGCCGCCTGCGGCCCCGCGCACGCTGCCTTGACCCCCCACCGCGCCAGGAGCCACCGTCGCGTAACCTCCGTACGAGGAGCCACACAAAGAGGGAGCGCGTTCCCTCTTGCAAAACAGGAAACTCGAGCATGAGGTGACCCCCCTGTCTACATGGAACCTCTCTCGATCCCTCCAGAAAGACCAGAGAGGTCTGGGCTGGGGCCCTCAGGAGGTGGGTTGGCCCCGGAGCCTGCGAGGACGGCCTCTGTGGTGGTGGGGGCTCCGCCGCAGCAACGGCGGCACCCCGCTGCTCGTCCTCCTCCTCTTCCTCCTCCTCCTCCTCCTCCTCCTCCTCCACCTCCTCCAGCTCCACAGCTCCCTCCCGCCTGTCCTCGCCGATGGCCGCAACGCCTTTGCCCTGGTTATGAAGCTCAGCATCCAGCGGGCAGCGAACACCAATACATCTGGCTAACACAATGCCAGATTCACCATGAAGCTCAGCACCCAGCGGGCAGCGAACAACAATACATTTGGCTAACACAATGCCAGATTCACCATGCCGACTGAGAGACGCACCTTCCTTAGCAAGTCGATCAGCTTCATGGTTGCCTCGTCTCTCAATTTCTGACCTGCGCCTTTCGCCGACGTCTACCTGCGTTTAGTGACCTCGGACCTTCCTACAAGAGACCTCCGAGAGATCGCCTTGGCGCCTCAAGTGGGCACGAACGCTGGGCGACCTGATCGAATAACTCCGATCCTGAGAGCGCTGCAAAGTCCTGCGGCAATCAAAGTAGAGTGCGCAGCTGCCCCCAATGCACCCGGAGGCTACAAGCACAGAATAATCCTCGCCATGCCTGGCATTCTGAGCTGGGCACACGATGGGAGGCACTGACCCGAACCATTCGGCGACCTTGTGCCAGTGCTGGAAAAAGGCAGTCAACACCCGACTCATCGCAAAAAAACGTGCAAGTCCTGGAGCATGCATGAGGGAGGCTTCGCCGCCCTGTCTTGAACTTGGTGGAGGAGGAGGAGGAGGAGGGCGAGGAGGAGGAGAGAGGTGGAGGAGGTGAGGGGGAGGGGAAGGGGGGGCCGAGAGGCCGAGGTGCAGGCGAGGGAAGAGAAGGGCGGGAGCGAGGAGAAGCAAGAGGACACCCGGCAAGTCAGCTCTGCCCTCTGCCCTGGCACACCTCGCCCAGCCTCCCCCTCTGCGGCAAGCACGTGCCGCTTCCAGGAGCGCCACTTCAAAACGGGGAGGAGGAGGAGGAGGAGGAGGAGGAGGAGGAGGAGGAGGAGGAGGAGGAGGAGGAGGAGGGGGCACGTCCGGCCACGGCGGGCCTGCACCACGCGCAGGTCCCCCTCGATGATCCTCAGAGTTGGCTTCCCCGTCGAATCCGCGAAAGCTGCATAGAATGCTCCATAGATCTCGGGAGCACTCGACGTGTTTGCCGCAGTTTCGACTGAAAAGCCACTTTTGGGAAAAAACAATTCTGTAGCCGATCCCCTACTCGAAGAACGTGTGTCAGCGCCAACGCGTGCTTGCCCACGGGCGCCCTTCAGATACGACGCAGGGCGTGCAACCAATGCCCGACACAGGCTGCGCGCTCCTGGTGGAGCTGAACGGAAGAAGCACACACTGGGCTAACATACGTCATGAGGATCCAGAACAAGAACAAACCTGCATGAACATGAATTGTCGACGCTCCGCGCGGATTTCTGGGATCTGCGCTGGACCCCCTCCCTGGCGCGCGGAGCGTGGTGGGGGCGGCGCCAGGAGCGCCGCCAAGGGGGACCAGCGCCGATCCAAGAGATTCGCGTGGAGGTCTAACCATTATGCTTATGCCGTGCTTCTTCTTTTGAGCTGGAACCGACCGTCCCGACGTTCCTATAGTCCTGCCACGGAATGTTCTTAGAACCCAATAGTGTTCAAAGAACAAGAGAATGTACCGATGTGTTCAAACAAGACAGACTCCGCCAGCAATGTTCTAAGAGCACTTCGTGGAACCCACACAAGCTTCTTAGAACATTGTTTGGTAGCGCTCTAGGCGAGCCAGGACGCTTCGCCACTGCTTGATTCTTCGAGGATCAGCTGCCCCCGACTCAGATCGGAGGAGCGGCCGGCAGCCGGAGGCCCCCCTGGCCCCAAAGGGTCCTCAGTTCGGCGTCCGGGCCGTGCCGCTTCCTTCGTCGCCGCTCCATGCCGCGGCCCCCTCTCCCAAGGTGCCATCCGCCCGTCTCCGTGCCGTGCCTCTTGCTCCCCGCCACCGCCGTCGCCTCCTCGCCCTCCTCCTCGTCCTCGTCCTCCCTTCCTCACAAAGAACTCCTCCCCGTCGCACCCCGAGGCCAGTCGACAGGGCGTGTCGGACGTTTCGCCCGAAACTTCCTCACCGCTTATGGCACTTAAAAATTTGGCAACGATGTCACAGATGGAGGGCTGGCCGCTGCCAGAACGTGGCCCTCGCCTGAGCACCACGCACATTCATTCTGAAAGAACATTTGCAATCATTTCACGGATTGAGGGCGTGCGGGTTTCAACATGTGGCTCTCGCCTTAGCGCGGGGCGCAGGCGTTTTCAACATTGCAAGAGTGTTACGGATTAAGGGCGGTTCCTTTTCAACATGCGGCTCTCGCCTTCGCGCCACGCGCAGTCCTCAAATATTTACCAGCTGTTCTCACCGATTGAAGGCAAACCGTTTTCAATATGTGGCTATCGCCTTAAAAACGCGCACCTTAGTTCTGACACACTGCACGAGCTTCACGGCTTCAGGGCGGCTCCTTTTCAAAATGTGGCTCTCGCCTTAGCGCCGCGCATTCTCGTCTTAACGACAAGAGCTTGCAAGAACTTAACGGATTCCCATGCGTAACGGGTTAACGTGTCAGAAATTGCGTTTAGGAGCGATTCAGGATTGCCGGGGCGCACCAGTTTCGTTGATTCGCGGTGTTGAAATCTTCAGACCGGTGTTCTGGCACGACTCGGGATCGCTCAAATGCAACAGTCAAGATGGTTCGTGGATATTCCAGCAGTTGTCTCCCAACAGGGCATACCCCTGAGTGGACGTTTTCCCTTGTAGGGGCCTATGCAGAGGGAGCTTGGAGGGAATGTTCTATTCGAACATCGTTGATGAATATTGGGTTTACACCGCTCCTCATCCTCCATTCCTTCTTCTTACACATCACTTTCCCCTGTCGCACCCGAGGCACGTTATTAGGGAGGGCCGGGCGTTTCGCCCAGATGGAGGGCGGGTCGTTTTCAAAATGTGGCTCTCGCCTCATCGCCGAATGCACTCGCTGTAAGCATTGGCAACAACTTCACAGATGGAGGGCGGGTCGTTTTCAAAATGTGGCTCTCTCCTTATCGCGTTGGAATCCCGAGAACAATGTCTTGGCATGCTTCAGGGTCTTCAACCGGCTGTCCTCCAACAAGGCTGTTCCCTCTGCAGTGGAAATGAACCGCTGCATGGGCCTATGAAGAGGGAGCTTGGAGGGAGGGCTGATTCCAACATCGTTGATGGATCTTGGGTTTACACTGGTCCTACTCCTCATCTTCCTGCTCTTCCTCCTCCTCCTCCTCCTAGTCCTGCTCCTCCTCCTCCCCTGCGTCCTTATGCTCCTCCACTGCTGTTCTGCTGGAAGCGCACGGCCAGGCCGCGGGAGCAGAGGGGGGGGTGGGGGCGCGAGGGGCGCGAAGCCGAGAGAAGTGCGGATGCGCTGCGCGGAGTCATGGGGGGCGGCATGGGCGTAAGGTACAGGCAACCCGTATCACAAGGATGCCCGATCAGGATGCAAGGGCTTTGGCAGGCTGTTTCGAAGCTTCTCGAGCGTGGCGCGGCCAACGGAAGTGGCCGCGAATGGACCGAAGGGGCAGGGATGCAAGGGTACCCTGGGGGAGGTTACCCATCCTTACTATGCGGGTTGACTGTAAGCGAGGCCGACTTGGATGGGGCAGATCACGAGAGAAGAGCAGAGCCAGGCGGAAGAGCCGGACTGCAACGGCGACGGCACCAGCCCCAACGTCACCACTAACGCCTGCAGCGACGCCATCAGCGACGCTTACATCAACGGCAGCAGCTACGCCTTCACCACGCCAGCGTCGACACCTGAATCGACGTCAGCACAGACGCCATCATCGACACCACGATCCAGGGCTCCCCGACCGTGGCTCCCGACTTTGGCTGCACTTCTTCGTTCTCGTACCACGCCGACACCTGCGGCGACGTCGTCATTGGCACCACCATCATATACATCACCGAAGCCAGATACGACGATCACAACGACGCCACCAGCGGGGCCTGCATCACAGTCAGCACCGACACCGGCAAAGCTTCCAGCAACAGGGCCAACATCGACGCCTGCAGCGACGCCAGCCTCGGCGCCCGCATCGACGGAAGCGCCGACACCACGTCAACTCCCAGCATCGACGCCAACTCCGACGACTTTTGCTACGCCAGCATCTTCAGCGACATCAGAACTGACACCAGCACCCTCTCCAGCATCGATGCCAACACCTGTGTCCGCAGCGACGCCAGCATCGACTCCTGCACCGTCGTCAGCAATCGCACCAGCACAGCCTCCAGCATCGACCGAAGCATCGACGCCTGTAGCGACGCCAGCATCGAGGGTAACACCAACACCAGCACAACCACCAGCATCGGCGCCAATACCGACACCTGCAGCGCCGCCAGCACCAGCGCCGACACCGACGTCAGCACCGATGCCAGCACAGCATCAAGCATCGACGCCAACACCGCTGCCTGCAGGAACGTCAGCATCCACGCCTGAATCGTGCTCTCCGACCACGACACGACAGCCCCCAGCATCGACACCAATATCGACGCCTGCCGCGACGCCAGCGCGGACACCAGCAAGCCCTCCAGCATCGACGCCGACATCGTCGCTCACAGCCACGCCAACATCGACGTCAGATCCGGCGCCAGTATGGCCTCCAGCATTGGTGTCAACGTCCACGTCTGCAGCGATGCCAGCACAACCAGCAAAGATACGAGCACAACAATCAGTATCGTTGCTGGCAACGACGCCTCCAGCGACGCCAGCATCGACGTCTGCATCGACGACAGCACTGACGCAAGCATCGAGGGAAGCACCGACGGCTCCCCGACCGCGGCTCCTGAGTCTGGCCACCATGCCTGACCGAAGTGCCACGCCGACGCTTGCAGCGACAGCATCATCATCATCATCATCATCATCATCATCATCATCATGATAATCATCTTCATCATCATCATCATCATCATCATCATCATCCTCATCATCATCATCATCATCATCATCATCATCAACATCTGCACCACCGCTGACTCCAGCATCGACGCTAGAAACAGTGACAGCATCGACAACAGCAGCCATGGATGCCAGCCGACCGCCCCGTGTACTGCCTAAAGCTGACAAGTCGGCACCGACGTCATCACCTACGTCTGCAGTGACGCCAGCAGCACCCGCCTCGACACCACTACCGCCACCAGCGCAGCCACCAGCCTCGACGTCACCATCGACGTCTCCATCGGCACCAGTACCGACTCTAGCAATGACGTCAGCACCAAGACTGGCACCGACGCCTACATCGGCACCATCGTTGACTCCAGCATCGATGCCAGCGTCGACGCGTGCACCGGCACCACCACCAACGTCAGCACAGCCAACAACATCGACGACAACACCGATGCCCGAAGCGACACCGGCAACGACGCCCGCATCGACCTAAACACCGACAGCAGCACAGCCAATAGCCAGCACCGACGCCCGCAGAGAAGCCATCACCGACGCCTGCATTGACGACTGCAGTAGCGACAGCAGTAGGAGATGAGGAGCTCAGGAAGCGGGAACGCTTTCAGGTCACACAGCCCTGACAAGGGGCACGTTCTGGGGGCCGCAGAGCTCTCCATCGACATCAGCGCTGACACCAGAACAGCTATCAGCTCCGACGCCGACATCGACTCTTGCAGCGACGCTCGCAGCGACGCCTCCATCCACACCAGCATCAGAACCATAACAACAACCATCCCTGGCTCTAACACTCAAGTCTGCGACAAAGCGGTCAGTGACGCCAGCAGTTAATCCTGCCTTCACAGCAGCACCGGCGCGAGCACAACCACCTGCCTCGATGCCACCGTCGACGCTTGCGGCGACGCCAGTAGCCACGCCTGCAGCGACATCGCCACCGGCGCCAGAACAGCCACCAGCCCTGAAGTCCCCGCCGACTTCAGCAGCAACACCAGCGACTACGCCTGCATCATCATCGGCACCGGCACTAGCTCAACCACCAGCCTCCACGCTAACGCCGACGACTGCAGCGATAGCAGCAGCGACACTCCGATCGTCAGCAGCACCGGCACCAGCAAAGTCGCCAACCTCGGCGCCAACACTCGCGCCAGCAGCGACGCCAGCAGTAGCGACGCCTCCGTCGACAACAACACCGAGACCAGCATGCCCACCAGCGCCGACGACACCGCACACCTCAGCAAGGCCCCGCAAGCGGAGTACAGGTTCGTCGAACGGAACTCCAGCTTCGATTTCGTGGCCATTGAGGGGCCAGCGGGAAGGGAAGGTGCTGATGGTCACGGAGGAAAGATGGGGTGGAGGAGGAGCGCGCCGCCGAAGCGGCTCGCGCCACCACCGTCCCGCAGTTCTCTCCCTTCGCTTCCTCCCCTCCTGCGCTCGGCCGTCCGTTCGTGTCCACTTCGCCTTTTCCTTGCGGGTCCCGCTGTCCGTCTCCTCCCCTTCGTCCTTCAACGGCCCCCTCACCGGCAATCGGCTCATTTTCGGAGTAGTTTTCGGAGTGGTCCCCGCCTGCTGTGCCATTTGGCACACGCAAGCGGGGACCCCTGGCAGCACCCGTGAGGACCTCATGCCACCAGTAGCAGCAGTAGCAGGAGGTGGAGGAATGGGAGGAGGTGGAGTGGACGAGGACGGACAAGGTAGTGGCCAATGCTGTCACGGCCGCCCTCGCAGCACCCGGGGGGAGCCCATTCCCTCGGACCGAGGGGAGAACGATGCGAGGTCCGCCAGCAGGCCAGGACGCGGATGGGACGGGAGGGGGTCGTGCCACCATGCGAAAAAAAAAACATCACCCACGGAACGCACTGGAACAACGACAAACTCCCTGCCGCTCCCCCCCCCCGGACGCGCCGCCGCGAGGGAGGAGGAGGAGGAAGAAGGGGCCACGGCGGTGGCGGCCCCGACCTCCGACGCCGTGGCCCCCCCACGAGGCTCGCACCCCCCACACCGAAGCCCTTCTGCCGGCGGGCGGGGGGGCCGCGGTGAGGCCACCCGCACCGCGCGTGCACGTCGGGGGGCATACGGCGGCGACGAGCGACGGCCCCGCGGCGCCGACGGCGCGGGCGGCCGCGCGGCCTTGCCGGCCAGGCGCCGCCGCGGCGCGCCGGCGGGCCCCGCGCCCGGCATGGCTCGCGCCGGCGTGCGCGGGCCGCGCGGGCCGCGGGGCGGAGGGGCAGCGCCTGCGGAGGCGAGTGAGGGCGGCGAGCGAGGGAGGGGAAGTGAGGAGGACAGGCAGAGGTCAGAAACTCCAACCCCATCGTGGCCACCCCGACACGCGAAGACGTCTAGCATACGCGCCGTAAGAATCGGGGATGGACAGACCTCCCTTTAGTAAAACGTGGTTTAGTGAAAACGACCTCGGGCCCAAACCTGGCGGGCGCAAACCTGGAAAATGACGACCGCGGCGCCCTCTCGAGAAACGAAAACGGACAATTCACTAATCGACGTGTCAGGGTAGGAGGTCTGTCCACCCCCGAAAGAAGGAATCGAACAGGACAGGGCCAGGGCTGTTTCACGAACGCCCAGGTCCGGGTGGTTCTTCCTGCCTTGAGACAAGGCCGTCTCAGAAGGCTCGGAAGTCCCCCGGCCTTCTGAGAAGTTTTCTGAGGCCTTCCCGAAGGCGCGGGAAGCATCTCAGAAAGCGCGAGGGCTTCGAGGGCTTCCAAGAAGTCCCTCCGCCTGCTGAGAAGGCCTTCTCCTTCTCACTCCCGCCCCTCGCTCGCCGCCGAGAATAACCAGCCTCGCACTCATCCTTATCCATGAGAGCGGCAAGCCCAAGGCGATGACAATATTTGGGATGTGCCCTCTGGGCAGAAACGGAGTGAACCCTCTTCAGATCGGCAACGAAATAAGAGGATGCAAGCCATAGGGATAGGGATGTGTCACTGCAACGACCTTACAGACGTGCTGCAGCGGATTTCTGCGTGGATTTCTGTCAATGCAAAACCCCGAGACGGCGGGCGAACATCGAAGTGAATTTCACGTGGGCTTTTCGTAATCTTCTTCCCTGGCCGAAAACATTCTGCACGAAATGCACTTCGAAATCAGGAACGGAATTATCCAGGACAGGCCGGGCTCGTCCCATTATGTTCTCAACGAGATCCGCTCTGCGATGTTGGCGCCATGAGAGAGACGTGTGTGCCAGCTGGTGAGCGAAGGCACGACGGGTTCAAAGGCGGAAGAAGGTGCGTGCTATGCTGAAGTCGGGCGTGGCCCCGTACAGAGGGATTCTCGACGAAAAATAAGAACATACCCCTAAAAATACTCCAAAATTGTCGAAACATGCTCAGCAAATAGTCCCCAAACTGTTTTTAGATTTTTTTGAATCTTCCTCCTGTAGAGGGACAGGCCCGACTTAATGCTATCGGGGAACTTCTGACCGACCCGGGTCAATCCAGACCCGGGTCATCAGGAAACTAAACAACTGCAATGCAGGAACAAAAAACTGCAACGCAGGTCTTCGCAAACCCGGGTCAGCCAATACGCGCGGCCGCCTCGCGGCCACGAGCGGCTCGCTAACCCAGGTGAGCCAGAGGGGGTCTTCGCAGGATCCTGCAGGATCTGGTGCCCTGGCTGACCCCCGTTTGCATTGACCCCCGTCTCGTGAGCCCCGATGCTACGCATTCGCCAGTGGTCGGGTGGGCGGCTTTCGGCCGTCCTCCGCCGGTGCTCGCCGGCACACGGCGGCCTTCCGCGCAGCGGCCGCCTCGGCGGCCTCCAGACGGCCCTCGCCGGTCTCCTCGGCGGCCCACTGGCGGCTCCCGCCAGCATCGGCGGCGGCGATAGGGGCGAATAGCCCAGGGTCGAGCATTGCACGCATTCGCCCGGGAGCCTCTTCGAAGACGTAGAGCATCGGCGCACCTGAATGCATGCATTGCTCTCCCCTGGGCTATTCGCCCCTCATCGTCGCCCCTGACGGTCTTCGTCGGCCTCCGGCGGTCCCCTGCGCAGAAGCTGAGTGGTTGCGCTGTGCAGCAGAGGGTCCAGGATCGAAGGCCTGCAGAAAGGGGCTCGGCCACAAGAAGCCTCCCACAAGGAGCCCGGCCCTGAGACCCCGGGACGTCCATTGGCTTGTGGTGTGGGAGCGCCACGCGGTCCATCGCAGAACCACTGGAACCCCAAGAAGCCCAGGGCACCCTGGAGGCAAGCAGGGTGTCTCTTGGCGTGGGTCGCCTCTGTGCACGCGGAACCTCTGAGAGCTGGAAGGTCTCGAGGGCGTCCCGGGCGCCGCAGGCGTGCGAGCGCGCTCCGGAGCCGCTCGGCGAAGGCGTTCCGAAGGGGCGCTCAGTAGTCCTGCGGCCCTCGTTTCTGGAGCCCGCGCGGGCAAGGGGACATGTGGGGGGCTTCGGGGAATCCTGGACGTCTTGGCAAATCATATTTTTGTATACTCCTCTGTGCCTTCAGCGTTCAACGTCCACGCCAGTGCTGCCGCCGTGCTGAGACGGGACGAGGAAAAAGGGGGCGGATGGGGGTCTACATCGGTACCTCCACGTATACAGCCAGGGCCGATTGCAGAGGACGCCTGAGGGGGCATCCGAGAGGCCCAAGATAAAGGAGGCAAGTCCTGGAAGGTCTTCTCAAGAACGGTCAAGCGCTTCTGAACCCGATTTGGGTGCCACTCGGCCTCATTGGGCCCGATTGAGCTCGCAATGTTGCCAGATTCAGTCGGTCTGAGCGGGAACCTGCAGAGTTGAATGGGACTGTGCCAGATTAGACTAGTTTTCGACCGCGGATATGCTAACGCCGATGCTGAGCTTAACCTCCCAGGGGTTGCATCCCAACCCCCCTTCACCCTTGTAACTGTTGCAAGCGTTTGACAGGGATGTGCGCGGCGTTGATGGCGGGAGGCCTATGTCGAAAGCCGCCCCCCTCAATCCTCGTAACCGTTGGAAGTTCTAAGCTTGGGTCATGCACTGCGGAGGTCTCGAGTGAAACGCCCGGCCCACCAGACCGACGCGTCTGGTGGTGCGACTGGGGGGAGTTTTCCATCGGGAACAAGGCGAGGCGGAGGAGGAGGAGAAGGGGGAGGAGGAGGAGGAGGAGGAGGAGGAGGGGGAGGAGGAGAGGGCGAGAAGGAGAGTGTCAATCAGGATAAGCTCCCTTTCTGTACGCCACTTCGGTGGAGCGCGCAAGCCGCTGCTTCCGCATCGCCCTCGGCAATCCGGGGATCCGCACTCGGCGGCCGCGGGGCCGCACCTGAGGCCACTCCGGCGAAGGGCCTTTGTTGTTCGTTTTGTGTTCGTTTCGTTGGTCGTTTTGCTCCACCGGTTTTCCTGTCCCTCCCTCCCAAAACGCAAAACGCAGCCGAAGTCCAGCAAAGCAGCGCTGAGGTCCAGCCCTTTCCTCTCACGTGTGGTCCACTACCTCCGACGGCTTTCGGGTCATAACTTAGCTCGGGCCCCTGGCGGCCGTACCAGGCGACTCGAGCACCCCCCGTGGAGCGCTCTCGGCAAGGCACCGCTGCCGGAAAACACCCCGAGGCCGGAAGACTGCTGGGCGCCGGCGAGGACGCCCGGGAGCGCCCGCCTCCCTGGATCGGGGCCTCCTAGATGGGGTCGGAGTAGATGGGGTCGAAGGATCTCGCCGCATCGCCGATGCATCGGCGATGCATCGGCGACGTCGGCGTGGATAAAATTGGGCCCCAAATCGAGCCGCATCGCCTGTGCACCGCCGATGCACCGCCGATGCATCGGCGATGCGGCGCGATCCTCGGACCCCACCTACTTCGGGGATGGACAGACCTCCCTGTAGTAAAACGTGGTTTAGAAAGAAAACGACCTGAGGCCCAAACCTGGCGGGCGCAAGCCTGGAAAGTCACGGCCACGGCGCCCTCTCGAGCACCGAAAACGAACCATTCACTCATCGACGTGTCACTGTTGGGGGTTCTGTCCACCCCCGACTACTCCGACCCCCTCTATCTAGGCCTCCCAGATGGGGTCCGAGCAGATGGGGTCGGAGGATCGTACCGTATCGCCGATGTATCGGCGATGCGGCTCGATGTGGAGCCCGATTTCCTCCGCGCCCACATCTCCGATGCAGCGCCGACGTCGCCAGTGCATCGCCGATGCATTGACGATACATCGGCGATACACTGGCGATGCGGCGAGGTCTTTCGACCTCATCTATACTCGGACCCCACCTATAGGAGGCCTCTACTCTAGGAGGCCTATAGACTGGAGGCGCGCTCCGACCAGGCCTCCGGGGAGGACGCGGCCGTGGCGCCGCGAGCCCTCCAGAGGGGGCGGGCACGCGGTGCGCGCACGGCCGCCGTGCGGCCACGCGGGAGGCGCTCGAGCGCGGAGCGGGCGCGGCAGGGCTCCCCCGTGGCCGCGGCGGGAGCCGCGGGCACGCGCGGGCCCCCCCGGACTCTGCACGCGAGGAGCGGCCCCGCAGACCGGAGCCCCGCCCGAGCTCCACGAGGGGGCCCCTACCTGAGGGGCCACGTCAGGGGGGGAGGGGCACAGGGGGGGGGGAGGCATCGACCCGGACTCGGCGACGCATCGCCGATGGGTCGACGACAGGCCCCAGGCGGCGAATCCGCACCTTCCTGGGCGGGTTGGGGCCATCGGGCCCCCATCGGCGATCAATGGGCGACTGGTGGTCGATGCGTCCCCCCCCCAATGCCTATCCCCCCATATCGTTGCCCCCGATTACCTCAGCGTCTTGACGGCATGGCCTGCGCTCTCCGAGTCCCGGCGGCCGCCGCGAGCGAAACGGCAGTGCTTCTCTGGCCAAGGCGAGCCCCGCGGGCACGAACACACTCTCCGGACTGGATGTGAGGAGCGGCCAGCAAAGCAGAACCCCTCCTGGGCCCAACTGCAGTGGAGCCCAGTACACCCGAAACCTTCCACAAGAAGCCCGGCCCTGAGACCCCAGGACGTCCATGCTTGACTTCTGGTGTGGCCATGGTCACCATCGCAGAACCCATCGAAAACAATGAATCCCAGGGCACCCTGGAGGCGGCGAGCAGGGTCTTTCCTGGCATGGGTCGCCACTGTACGCGCCTTGCCGATCGCTCCGTGCGGAGGAGGAGGAGGAGGAGGAGGAGGAGGAGGAGGAGGGAGAGGAGGAGAGGAGGAGGAGGGGGAGGGGGAGGAGGAGGAGGGGAGGGAGGAGGAGGAGGGAGG